AATTTTCTCCATAACTATTAGGCGCACAATAACGCTTCAACATACTAAATTATAAAAAATTGTGAAATTTTGGGTTTTTAGGGTCAAAAATTGTAAAAACCTATTTTTACCCCATAAACCCCTGTTTCCATAGCCCGATCATGCTGGTTCCCGAAATCGTTCGAATAAATGTAGGTTTACACGTTTATAGGTACCAAATTTCATCAAAATCGGATTATTTTTGCTAGAGTTATCGCGCTAACGGACACACACACACACATATATATCGGTCCCGGGTCCAGGTCTTACCATGAGTACTACGGTAATAGCTTATTCCCTATATGAGAAATTCGCTAAAATTTAATTGAAGCATATTATGGCATTATTTATTAAGATAAAAAGTTGCAAAATATCTCATTGAAGCCATTGAAACCGCGGATGTGATTTGCTATCTACTTTTCAGTTATTTTTATTATTTTGTCAAACTACAGTAGACTCCCTCTTATCCGGACACCTTTTAACCGGACTACACTCGGCGTCGGCGGAAATGGCATCTCTTTAACGGGACAATTTTTATCAGCACATTTGTTTAACCGGACTAGAACGGCAGGAGGTGGGCGGTGCTGAAAAGACTGTTCTCGTGGGAAAAATTTGAGACCAGTGATCACGTGTCTAAATACAATGCTCTCCTAAATTTAAGTTGAATATCACAGTAAATAGTCTGTTTCAACGAGTTTTTGGGGACGTCGGTTTCACATCACTTCCATCTCTACGACAAAAGGTATGACTAAAGGGCCTGAATTGGTATTTGACGTTAACATACTGAAAGATGTGAAATGTGAAAGAATGAGAATATGTGAGTTGGATCATGAGTTGGATCACTTCATGCTGATCGCTCATTTGCTGAAGTAACGATTTATTTATTAACCACGACCATAGGCCTCCTGTCTCGCTAAAATGTGGAGTTCTATCTCTTATGGGCTACTCGTTGACGAGGACGGTTGTAATATGAGTTGACTTTCCTTATTTACTGATTGTCGTTAAATTTATAACCTTTGTTGTTTGGTTATTTTCACAAGGTCTTAGTATAAATATGTTTGTATACCTAATTAAAATCTGTAATCATGTTATTAACTGAATGCTTTATTAATTCTTTTACCCATATCCAAATGTAACTGTAATCAGGAGGATTAATTTTTATTCAGATTTCATCTGGCGATTTGGGCTAATAAGCCCACCAATGGCACGCGGCCGCTCCGTCAGAGGAAATCTTTTGAAAATTAATCTTCATCTGAATTAATGAAAAATAAACACTAAAAAATGTAAACCACTTTGACAAATCTTGTAAAATTGGCGACTACTTAAAGACTACCTACTTTAAGTTTATGGCTAATTTTTATTTAACTGAGGCTGTAGTATCATCAGCATATAATATCAAACTTAAAATAAATATAAAATACAAGTAAAAGCAAATGTAGATAGTTGAATAATAAAAGTTGATTTACAAAATTTAATTTATTAACTATCAACAAGGTAAGGCATATATACATTTTAAACCAGGTCTTCAATGTCACTCATATCATTGTCTTCTTCGTCCTCCCCACTGCTGTTGCTGTTTCCTTGCACGAGGTCGTCGATCCGCGGCTCAGCTGAAGCGTTGCGTAATCTATATCTATCTATATATTAATAGGCAAGCATGTTTCTTTAAAACCTTTTTTCTCAGCTCGTGTGCATCGTAGGGAAAATCTACGCATACCGTTAGAAAGCTATTTTCCTGTAGGTGTGCAGAATCCCTTTATAAATTTAAATAGGCTCAAAGATAAGCACAAAAAATGAGTTTAAAGATTTGAAAAAATTAACATGGATCTTATGCGTTGGTGACGAAATAACAACGAAATATAAACAGGAAATCAAAACAAATGGAAGAAACTCCAATCACATGTTTTATTTACAGTGTGGGGTGAAAATAGAGAAGTGAGTAAATTACATATTTTTGGTCGAGTTTCGACCACTGGACGACCTCTCGTATTTATTTAATACGCAAGCAGGTTTTTTGTAACAATTTCTCCTCCGAAACTACTGAACCAATTGACATGTTTTTGGTGTCATTGGAAAGAGCGTAACGTGACGTTGTGCAGGAAACTTTCTTTTTAGGGAAATAATTAGAGAGTGAGGCCCTGGGGACCTTTTAAGTTTTGTATTTCTCCATAAGATTAACATGGGGAACAAAAATTGTTATGAAACTCCAGCTGTTGTCAGAAATTAAAAGTGAGAACAAGAAAATATGTTAATTGTAAACTGTCAATAAGTTTGCTAATTTAACAGTTTGCAACAAACTTTTACTGACTTTGTTGAAATGAAATATTTACTATTTGAATTTGGGTTGGCGTAAATATTACAATGGAAAATAAGCGAGAGAGCCTGGATAAATCGATATAATGTTTTATGTACATATTGAGTATTTCCATAATCTTTGAGTTGAATCTTTTAAAGTCATTAGAAATTGTGACTGTTATTGGTTTTAATATTTAACGCCTGTAATACTTAGCAATTGCTTGAATTCGAGCAACAGGGACAATAGTTATTTTTAATAGTTTTTACATGGTCGCACTTATTTTTCCACCCTGTTGCACCAATGATGTCAAATTTTTCCTGTGCTAATGAACGGATGCTCTCGAAGCTACAATTTATGTTTCTGCTTGCTACGTAACCTTTTACTTCAGCCCAAATGAGTTATATTGGTTATAGATCTGGGTTGTAGCTGTTAATTAATAGCCCATACAGCTAATGGCAAATAAGGGACCTACAGTTTTATAGTGGAATCCGAACCACATTTTTACCTTGGTATATACGAATTGGTCTAATTTTCAGGATAGTACTGCGGATAGTCATAGTACTCACTTGTGCGGACGTTAATCTACACCAGGGAATATCGCATCCACAGTGCATGCCTATATCCACAATTCGTAACCTCCTAGTAGCTGGATTACAGGACGACGCCACCTGTCCCAGTTAAATGCATTTTATATGCATCACATCCAAAAATCTTCAGTGATTTTATATCAAAGTCTCTGCCCATCCACAACTGATATGGTGTACTGCCCTTAACACTACTCTCCCCAACTCGGTTTAAGACAAATACGGCTGTGTCGACTGCCTCTGCCCAAAACTTCTTATTTAGTCCTTTTGCTGACATCATAGCCCTAGCAGAATTAACTGGGGTCTGCCCCAGGCCCCACACCAACATAGGCCGTATTCCCCTAACTTCAAACTCTGCCATTGCCGAGGGCCTCTTGGCCTAGGAAGGGGCCTTACTTGGGTCTCAAAAATTGGAAAATAAATTTTGCTGTTGAATATAATCATCTGTTCTCACAATCACCGGAAGCGTCTGCAAAGATTGCGCGATCGAAAATCACGACTCCCATCGATCCCGAGTGACGATAATAAGGTCTCGCAACCGCAAAAGATGTTCTGTGTTCACGATTTCGCCGCGATTGCGGGAGACGATAATGTTGTTCAAGCGTTCGCCGGAGATCTTAACGATTTCGGCATGTAGAATATATCCCTGCGTCCGCGAAAGATGTTCACTATTCCTATTCCACCGTAAACATGTCCTTGCTCCGCGGTCTCGGAGATAACCCGCACGACCCCGGGAGACGGAGATTACAACCCCACAAACACGGACGCTCACGATTTCGTCTTCACCCAGGATAATATCGTTCTGTTTTGCCCCGATCACAGAAGTCTTTTGGACCAAATGTATAATATAAAGATAGGCTAATATAATTATATAATGTATTTTATACCAAAATAGTAGGCCTATCTCCTAAATAAAAAAAAATTGAAAGAAGTTTCAGTAAAAACCTGATTTTTATTACTTCTTGGGTTGCTCGTGCTTATTTTGAATCTCCAACTCCAACTTGAATAAAAACTTAAAATGTTAAAAACTTAAAGGAAAACTTAATTTAGCATAATTCAATTTTTCTCAAATACAAAAATAGATTACATTTAAAATAGTTGAAGTAAGCTCATTTAATCAGTGATACAAAATACATTAAAAGCGTATATTTCTTTTTAGTTCTAATCACTGTTTAGGGTTACTTTTTTAATAAGCACCATGGTACCCTGTTTAAAATAATTTTAAACATAAAATGATTTTAAACAGGGTAGGCCTACTATGGTATTTATTATTTCACTTGTATATATGTAAAAAAGGCCCTCTCATCTAAGCCGCCCCACGCCCCCAACTATGACAGTACGCCACTGACTTTGAATGTTTTTCCTTTTTGATTTCTAACATGACTAATTAATTAACTGTTTTAGTTTGCCAAATTCCTCACTCTTTTGTCTTTAGAAAGTAAACAAAACGATAGTGTGAAAAATCATCCAAAAAATACTTGGAACCACCAATAGAATTTTCTTCCATCGGTCTGCAAAGATCTGCATGAATTATCTGTCTAATTTCTGGTGACTTGTTTAGACTAGTCTTAAAACTTGAGCAGTTTAACAATATTGTTTAAACGATTAAACCAAAATAACCTTAACCGAGCAAGGCTCGGTCCCCGGTACTGTTATTTGAAATAACAAAGTATGCTTATACAAATACTTCTTTTTATGAAAGAAAAAATAAACATAACTAACAAACAAGAAATAATAACCAAAATTGTCAATATACTAAACATTCTTGCACAAAATTTGAAACTGGAGATTTTACATTTTACCTCTTTAAATAGGATTAAATATTTACAGTCATTTACCTAATTTATAAAAAAAAAATCAAAATCAAGTTTTACATCCAAGCTGAAAGAGACTTCCGAGCCAAAGAGTGTACCTACCCAACAAAATTCATATTTTTGTAAAGATACATTTTTTAAATCTTAAGCTTTACACGTGTTAGAAAACTTAGTAGACAGACTTTATACCAGCTTGGGAATTACTTTCCTGATTACTGTGTCAGCCGTTTATGTAAAAGAAAGCTTTGTCTATCGTCTACTTGTTATTTAACAGATTATTGTACTTACTGTATTCTGGTAAAGCAAACTTATGGTGAAAACATTGTTAACTCCCTCTGTGCCAACAGGTTTGATATTGAAAGCAGTGTCAAATACAAAATGGCCAATGTCCTCCAAAGGCAAATCCTCAAATTTAGCAATAAGGTTTGTATCTCCAAACAATACTGCTAATGTTTGGCCTGACACCCCTTTAAGTACACCTTGAAAAAAATTGCAAGGGGGGTCAGTTAGGGTAAGGCCAAAATTACATCTTCCAATATAGGTCTTCAAGCAATCTCCATACTGATTAATATGATGCGGTACAGGAAGTTCCAAAGCTTTATCACTAGCCCGATGTCTCTTGGTTTGAAAATGTCTATAAAAAGAAGAAAACTTTTACTGATCGTTCATTTGAAACAAACACTCAAGCAAAATTGATCCAATCTAATTTAAATGTGGTTAAAACTTGTCAACCTATGTTTATTCAAATATTTTGTACGATTGGACTATAGGAACATGTCTTTATGGAGGTAAAATTGTTTTTCCCCATTATCAGCTCTTAAACATATAGCATTTGTTAAAATTTTCTTCTATGCTGTGAACCTTAAAACTACAAATTTACTTTTCCTACAGTTACCGAACAAAGTTGGCTTCCTTGAACTGTTTAAAGTACAGATAGCTGCTAATTGCTGTATTTACTTACTTTGTCGTACGGTTTATACTTTGGCGCACATCAGGATTCCAACCAAACAACACAAAAAGCGTGGTTTTAATATGCACATAATCCGTGTACACTTGGAAATAGGTTGGCAACACTCAAAGGTAATAATACTATTATCAGCTGATTGACTATTATAACTGTGATTTAACCTGTCATTTCGTGTTTATAGTTTACCAGATGAAACCCGTCGAAATCGACGGTTACTTTCAAGGCTTACGCTAATTCATCTAACTGCGATAAATTGAGTGAAATTAAACATTTTTAGCATTTAGCGTTGTTTAAAGAGTAGTAAGTTTAAAAACAATAATGATATTAATTGTGTCAGTTACCAAATATGGTTGATCATTCAATGAATAAAATATTTCCCATACTGTACGTCATCGGTGTTATTATTAGTACCGGTATGTTAACTGGTATCTCTTCTTTTGGAAGAACCTTTAAATAGTATTAAAATCGTATTGGTGGAACTTTTTTAGTTAAAAACTTCCGCAATTTTATCAGTGTATTAAAGATTAATCTACGATTTTATTTGAGAAAAAATGTCTGTTTGTTGAGAAGACACGTTCTAACTTCAAAGGGAGGTCCATCCGTTACAGTGTAAGTTTGATTTTTCCTTTGTCACGTCGCGTCAGTTCATATCGTACTTCCGTGCCAATGAATAACCATCTAGCATAGCTTTGAGAAATTGGTTGTGGGGTTACTGTAAAAGCTAATAAGACACTTCTGCACTTGTATTCACTTCAGACGCAGATATTCCTAACCTATTAGCATTACTCTGTTTATTCCCTCCTGATTCCCCGAATTCCCACCAATATCCCACGCTCGACCATATCATACCATTAACCTAACACCCCCTCCATAACTTCATCAATCTTCAATGCCCCCCAACTACACTGCACTACACAATGGGCTAATATCACTATGGCTATGGAGGTGAGGATGGCTTAGTGCAGAGAACAACTCATGTTTTGGCAAATCGCCAACGGAAAAAAGCAATTTGATAATGACACAGATACCCGAACAAGATCTACTTTTTAATCTATACCCATACACCATCTACTTTAGATTACATTAAATTTATATCAAAACTTACACTCCAATAACTTTCTGTTTTGTATTTGGATGATTCTTTCCAGGATTTTGGTTTCGAAGAGGAGATTTTAACAAAACAGTTTTCTTCACTTGAGTAAAATATGAAATATCATTAAAAGAACCATCAGAAGCATCAGTTTCATCTGTCTCTAGCACATTTCCTTCTTGAAAACTATACTCAAATGTACTTTCATAAGAAGGCTTATCTCTAATAGTATCTTTTTCAGTTTCTCCAATGTACCTTTTTTCAAATGAATACACTGAATCATCTTCAATCAATGGCAAGTTTTCTTCAACCGCTTTGTCTTCTTGATTCTCAAAAACTTCTGAGCTGTTTTCTATATTTTCAAAGCAATGTCCATCAACAATTTTATCATCATTAGTATCGTCCGATGTTTCATATAATGTGTATTCTGATTTTGAACATACATTATGTTCATTAAATGCAAGTACTTTTTTATCAGTAATGTTGTCTTGACTTTTTCTTTTAGTTTCGGCTTGTCTATAACTTTTAGTTGTTTTGCTATCATGTATTATGTATTTGTCTTTGCTTGATATATCTGGTTTAGACTTTTTTAGAATTACATTTATTTTACTAGACCTACGTTTCATGTTGTTATCTAGACTATTTCTGTACCCTCAGCTATTTTTAGGTGTTGGCTATAGTTTTGCCATTTGATAATTTATCATGGAGTAGTAATTTAGGTTAACAGAATTGCCTTGGTTTCCTGAAATTATAAAAACAATTTAAACATTAGGCTACTAGACTCTGCTAGCTTGATAATCTCAAGATGCAACTTGGACCTAGAAAAGTCATTCAATAAATGTTACTAAGTAGTCTTGAACATTTACAGTTCTATTATGGTAGTTAAATATATTTTATAAGAAGATTGGGACATGGACTAAGGGATCAAGAGAAGAAATGACGGAAAATAGAGAAGAATGGAAGCGTATTGTTGACAACGCTAAAAACCATCTAGGGTTTACATGGCCACAGAAGTAAGTAAGAAAGGAATGTATTTTAAATTAACTTCTTCTTGTATCCTAGCCTTAACATAAACCCATGTGCATAATGCGAACCAAAGCTGTTCTTGGCAAATGCAGGGCCTGGAGCAAATATTTAGTAAAACAGCCATTTCTTATGGTTGGTGTGATTGGAGAGGGGTCCAGGGGTTGAAAAATGAAACTTACAATTTAGGACTTTTACAAAGAAAAGGTTTAATAGGATACCTTACATTACAAAAAGGGGTGTGTGAGTGGTTTTAACTCCTTGCAAAAATTACAATTGAGTTTATTATTAAAGTTAGGCCTATTATAGGCCTGACAATAAAAATATATACCGGTAGGTAATAATTCTTATTTTCTAACAAATCCAACAAAACAAAAATGAATAAAATCGGTTCATAAAGAAAGAAGCTGTGTTTATTTTAGTAATTTAGACTGAAATTACCTAATGCGTTACATAAATTATTACATTACATTTTAATATTAATAATTTCAGACTAAATTACAAAAATAAACACAGCTTCTTTATTTATGAACCGATTTTATTCATTTTTGTTTTGTTGGATTTGTCATAATAAATACTAAAACTTTTGTCTCTTACAAAATGTTGATTTAGGTACCGGTTTTCATGAATTTTGGCATTAAAAAATTCAAACGGCCGCCATTTTGAAATTTGGAAAGTTAAAATAATATTTTTTTTATAAATGTTACTTACTATAGTGTAAACAATTTTGCTAAGTTTCGTAAAAATATCTCAAAGGGATTTTGAAATAATAAATATTTTCCCCAAAAAAGAAAATGGCGGATTACGGCTAAACTAAGCCGAAATCCAAAAAAAATTATTCTTCATTTTTGACTTATTTTTGCATGTAGAATTAGGTCCTGTATAGCCCATCACACTTTTTTGTGACACCCTGTATTTTATTAAGCTTGACTTAAAATATAATTGGGTAGCCTACAGTTCCGCAGGGAATCTGCAATATATTATCGGTTTGTATATCAAATAGCAGGCCTATCGATTACAATTTGGTTCGAGGAACATAAAAACAATAACTTAATGTTAATGTAGGCTAAGTTAATGTAAAAACATTAACCCTGGAACTGCCAATTAAATTTCTTCAAATGCCAACACTTTTTTCAGCAATTAACATACATTTTTTTAAAAATTCGTAAAAAATATTATTTGTATGACTTAAGTAATGTATTATACATCATTTTATTCAGAAAATAACAAGGAATACAATGGTAAAATTTATTTTGTAAAATAACAAAAAAAAATTTTTACACACCATATTTTTTTATACACAAATTTGATAAAAAAATCATTTCCGCATTTTATGTCTCATGTCCAATACACATCAGAAATGCCACAAGAATTCCAGAATATACATTTTGTTGCAAATTTTATCTAGTTTTTAGAAATAAATTTTGTTTACTGAAAAAGTAATATATTATTCATAAAATTTGAGATTTTTCACATGATGTGCTCGGTGAAAATTCTGCGCGAACCAGACATATGGGAAACATATGTGTCTAGAATTATTATAAGTCATGAAATACAGCACTAGTCAGTCCTAATGTCAGTGACGTAGCCAGGATTCCCAAATGGGGGGGGGGGTCGAGCCACCGGGGGGTCTGGGGGGTACCCCAGTTAGAAGGGGGGTCCGGGGGGTCCTCCCCCGGAAAATGTTTGGAAATATAGGCCCTAAAATGGCCTTTTTCAGCTCTCATGGCATTGAAAATAACCAACTCCTTTGACAGTAATTTTGCTTAGTACGTCCAGGCATATTTTAAAATATGTTAATTGAGACATTTAAAGGCCTTGGTGGATATTTTTTGTTTCTTATTACTAATTGGCTACGTGTTTATAGCCAATTTCTGTGAAAATATAAAATTGTTATAAATTATTAATCTAAGTACTGTCGTGTAGAATTTAGATTGTTACTAACTCATAAATGCTGTAACAGTTTCAATGACCTCTCAGACGCCTTAAGACGTAATTTTCTTAGTGATAGAATAAGTTAAAAATGAGATTAATTGAAGGTTTAGTTGGAACATAAGATATGCAACTCCCAAGGTGAAAGTTTTATTTTAGTACAATAACGATAGACCTAACATGAAATTATTACATTTTACAGAATGAATTTTCTCTTTCCTTTAGCCGCCATCACATTCAAAACATCTTCTGCGGTGAATGGTACAGGATAATGAATAGCCATTAAGGCTAGTCCCGTCAGTCTCTCATTTCCCATCCTATTCCGTAAATAAGTCTTAATACGTTTCAACGCAGAAAATGACCTCTCAGCTTCACATGTTGACACAGGCAGTGATGCCAACACACACAGCAAGTACCTGATGTTTGGATAAAAGTTCTTATCACACGAGTCTATCACTGTCATAAGTTGAGTCGGCCGGTCTGACTTTTTGACTGAACTCCACTTTTGACACCACATGGAGTATTCAGCATTGAGTAATTCTTGTGAAACTCTGCTTTCATAATAAACATTCAAGTTTTCCAAAAGGTGGAGGTCTTGAAGGCTACAGTTTTTTGGGAGGATTACTTCAATTGAGGACATGAACTTGCGGTTTTGATTGAATCTTTCCTCGATGTTGACAATAAGTCCATCTATAGCTGGAATAAAAACTGCTCGTTTGAAGTAATCCTCTGGAGAGCTGTGGGGATGGTTGTCCCGTTTAGTTTGACTTTTAGTTTGTCTCGGGACTTCAATCTCACACTCAAGAACTAACTCAGACATCAATTTGGATCGCTCAAAAATCTTGTGAAACTGTTCTTCGTCTCCAGATCCAGCTCTAAGATCCTTCAGTCGGTTCAAAATGTCGTCACAATATTTAATTGCTGAAGCAAGCTCTTTAGTTGGACTTTGGAGGTAAAGAGAAAGTGGCAGAGTCAGGCCAAAAATGTATTCGCATACTAAAATAGAAACAAGAAAGCTTCCTTTCTCCATTGCAGCTAAGAGGGTTGAAGCGGTTACAGAAAAAGATCGGTTAAGTTCTGACAACTGTCTTAGGCTGGGGACTATTGCTGGAAACAGTTCTACAAATGAGTTTACCGAATCTTGCCGCTCAACAAACCTTGTTTCACAAAGTTTTAGAAGCCTTGACTTTGTTGACTCAGGACAAAATATTTTGACGTTTTCTTTCAAAATATCTCCTGCTTGTGTGTTGTGCCTAAAAAAACTAACAGTCTCTTTTAAAACACCCAAACTGTTTGTGATTAGAGGAACATTGAGAGAGTCAGAAAGGACAAGATTCAAACGGTGACTTGAGCAATGAACATACATAGCTTTTGGAAAAAGCTTTGCGATTCTAGTTTGAACTCCACTTTTGCAACCACTCATTGTAGACGCTCCATCGTACCCTTGGCCGACCAGTTTGTTTTCTAAGTCAATACCAAGTTTTCTGCATGCTTCAATTATTTTTTGAGCAATACTTTCCGCACCTAAATCTACTAATGGAACAAATGTTACAAAATCCTCTCTCAGTGATGAATGTTCTTCATTTGTAACGTACCTTATGCAAATCGACAGTTGTTCTTGGCCAGAAACATCTAGAGTTTCATCCCCGATGATTGAAAAACACTCTGCAGAATTGACATTTGCTGCTAACTTCTCTTGTATTATCTGGCCACAAATACCTATGATTTCATTTTGGATATCTGGGCTAAGGTAGGTTACATTTTTAGGACATTTTATCACGTGGTCCTGGAGAGTTGAGTCGTAAGCTGCTCTATGTCTAATGAGAGCTCGAAATTTCCCATCTTTATTCTTTGGTTTCTCAAGAGTCAAGGGTCCACTGTCATTGTCACCTCTTAAGGGTAGCTCTTGTTCTCCACACAATATTATTGTCTCTATGATTGGTAGAATGGCAGCTCTGTTTTGCTCTTTTTCTTGTTTCCTCCTGTTATCAAGAATGGTGGCTACATCTTCAATTCTCCCTTCTGCAACTTTCAGAAAATTGTCTGCAGAAATTGTAGCCAATTTGTGGTAGTTCCTGTTTGAATGGTGCTGGAACTTCTCAACAGCATCTTTCCATTTTTTGAATGGCTGTCCTACTAATGATGCCGTTCGAACAGATAAATCTCCCTTTCCCAAGCATTCTGAAGAAAAGAGAACACAAAATTTACAATAGGCTCCATCGTTTAGTTTTGAATAAGCTAGCCAGTTCCATCGTTGCAGCCAGTTGTGTTGAAACTTTAGATGTTTTTTCTGTAGTTGTGTGGTAGGAAACTTAAATGTTGCATCTGGCACAAACAGTCCCTTAAGTATATTTAGTTTCTCTTCGTCACTAGTATTAACACATTTATTTGAAGAATGAAATATGCTGCTTGAAATGCTTCCAATGTCCACTTCAGAGCAACTTACTTGTAAATTAGAACAACTTTCTTGTGAAACAGGTCCAGGAAGATCAAGAATGGGTAAGGGTGTATCGTCAATTTTCCCCACTTTCGGTTCAACCTAAAAATAAGGCTAATAACTATTAGTAGGATTATAAATAGGTAATAACAAATCTAGGTCTTTATTTAAAAAATCTAAACACAGCTCAACCGTTGACGTGAGTTAAGTGAATTTCAATATTGTTTACTTATATTACGTTTCAACTGACGCTAAATCACTAATTTGTTATTAAGTTCAAAATTGGTGATTATTGTTTTGATTGCAGAATTTAATTTGTATGTACAACTTGGAACACTGAAATGACATCATATGTATAATTTTAACCATCACATTTCCACAACTCAATGTGAAAAATAAAAATCTAAAATACGCCAAAAACTACTTAACACGTTGAGTGCTGAAAATCTTTAAACAGGCGCTCGCCATGGCAGTGAGGCGTTGCCTCGGCGCGACACTGAATCAGCAAACGCAATTGGCATTCAAATATTTCAGTCTGACCAATCACAGAAGATCAGTGGTGATTGTGCTCCGTTGCCCTGTGAGTGGACGTAGTTCACTGAAACACCCAAAGGTAGCAGCACTGCCTGGATCCGTAGCCACAGTACCAATGGTGTATCGTACCAAAAGCAATCCTATATCGTAGAATCTACCAGAATGGCTTGTAATTAATTCTTTTACAAGAATATTGTTGTGGCCTACTTGTAGCAGAATTAATGGTATAATATTTCTTTCAGTAAATATTACGTTATTTTCTTCGATATACACCACATTACTTTCAAGTTACGTTGTTCGAGCTGTTATACTACAAAACATAACCTAGCTTAACTTAACTCCTGATTTTACTGGAAGAAATTAACAATTAATTGTAACAAAGTACACAGTGAACTTACCTCAGATACGTTTGTATCATCATTTGATTTCCTTTTCTTACGTGTTACGAACTTATCCATAACTATTACCCAATATAAAACATAACAAACCACTGTACCGGACGGTAAGATACGATTCAGGGCGAGAGCGGCGTTGCCAAACTTCACCGAATAGGGTAGTGTTGCCAGATTTTGCTTCTCATACGAAACCATAGATTAAAGTTACCGAACTTAGTTGCTGTATTTAGGCTATATTTATATCTGAGCCTGATTAATCAGTTGGCTTACTAATCTGTGCCTTAAAAATAAGAAATAGGGAGTAGTATAATATATAATTTTACATTTAAGTTAGTAAAAAAATATATATATATGGCCGGAAGGGGGGGGGGGTCCGGACCCCCCCCTGGCTACGTCACTGCTAATGTGCTACTAAACAATGTAATTCAACAAAAATCTAAACTAAACATAATTTGAAAAGCATACCTGCTAATTTTTGGACTATGTATCCACGGTAACGATCAACTCCAAGAAGATAAATGTTCACAAACAGTCACATAACAATAATAAACCAAAATTATAATTCACTTTCTTATTTGAAATAGCCTACTCAGGCATAAACACAAAAGTAATAAAGTAAAACACTCAAGATTTGATTGTCAATAGCAATATTTTTACAAGGAACTGCAAAAATTTGGCCGAAGGCAACTTGGCCAGAAGAGGGCGATTGTTGTTCCTGACTTTAGTCAGAGTCACTTTCATTTTCTGTGGCTGGTCTCTTTTTTTTTACTTTAGTGGCCTGTAAAAGTGTTCCAACCTCCCAAAGCACTGTGGGTGAACACCAACATTACACCCAGGGCACCTCCAGCTGCTTTTTTTTCCGCAGACGGGACAGACTCTCCTTTGATTCGATGGAAACTGCACTAGATTGTGTTCCAAGGGATTTACTTGAACAGGTTCTGCAGGTGGTTGTTGCCTGACAAGTGTTTCAACAATATCCACCATGAATCTTTTCCTTGAAAGAGGGTGATCTGTGTTCCTGGAGTATAAAATGTAGGCGTTTAGCATGGCCATGTCCATTAGGTTGAAGAATATCTTTCGCCAATACTTGCGAGTTGGCCTGGTACATGAGTGATGATATATGGATTTATCTTTTTGATCCACACCCCCCATAGATAGATTATACTTGTGAATAACTAGGGGTTTCACAGCTTGTAGCCCACTGCGACTAACTATATTTCTATCCTCCGCATGGCAAGCAGTTGTTATACGATAAACGGGTTTCCTCTTCTTTTTTTGCTTATAGCCGACGAGCAACACCTTTCCTTTCCTGAAATAAACAGTTTGACCTGCCTCATATTGTGTTCCTACCACTGCTCGGGATAAATCTTTAGACTTCTTGTTTACTGTACCAGTTAGATATGTGTCGTTGCGTAACAAAGCTTCGGCTAGGGGTAGCTTAGTGTAAAAGTTATCTGTAAAGACATGATGATGTTTCCCCAACAATCGAGTCTGATTCATCATCTCAAATATAACTTTTTGAGTGAATGGATCATCTCCATCACTCAAAAAGTCTTTACCACTATAAAGGGCAGTATGGAGCAAATAACCGGTAGCACTGTCACATATTTCAAATTTTTTAATTCCAAAGCGCGCATGTCTCTTGTTAGGCATATATTGTATAAATATTGTCCGATTCTTCATTCCTATCATACTTTCATCGATTGCTAGGTTCTGGGAAGGGACAAAATGTCTTTTGAAAGCATCATTCAAGTGATCTAGGAGTTTCCTTATTTTCTGCCAAGGATCATAACCCGGTTCTCCTTTAGCGATAAAAGGCTCTGAAGTGAGATGAAACATTGACGATATAGCCTGGAAACGGTTTCTTGACATAATTTTCAGGGAAAAATGGAACTCTCTGGCTGAAAGATTGGTCCCAATAGTCAATAAGATTTTTTTTTCCAATTAGGTCCATATTTATCACCAGCGCTATATACTTCTTCATTTCACTGTATGTTACGTCAACCCAGTGTCGTAACCGTGACTGTCCCCTCAATTCCCCCGACAATCTCCTTCGAGTTACTTCTCTGGATGCATATGCATTGGTTTCAGTTGTGAATAATATCCAGATTGCGTAGGGGAAAAACAAATTGAAGTAAGCAATTGGCTTGCTGTTGCGGGGTGGACAGTCTCTAATCCCAGTATTTCTCACAGTAAACTTAGTTTCTATATCCTCCCCTTCAGGTTCTGGGGGGTAGACCCTTGTCCAAATAGGCCTAGTAATATTTGGAATTGGGGGTATTCCTAGCCTAGCTGCTGCATCCCCTCCAGGACCAGGAGGTGGAGCAGGTGGACCCAAACCTACGGTTGGTACATCTAGGCCTACGTCTAAATCTGTTACTTCTCTTTGACTGGTATCTAATTCACTGCTATGTGGGACATAGTCATCTTCTGATCCAGAGGAGAAGTCTGTAACACTATGTTCAGGTGTCAAACCATAAATGTCTACATCAAGATCTGATTCATCACCTGTCTCATCACAAGGCTGACTTACTGATGGGCTTGCCCCTAGGCCTACCGGCACCACGACTGATTCTTCTGATTCCACTCGCTCAACTTCAGAATCAATATTATCATTAGTTTCACTAAGATCGTTCATCAATAATTCACGTAAATCACTGGAACGTCCTGCATAATTTTCCATTGTAAAAATATCAAGTTTGTAATCCAACAAAACAAACTAACCCCCACACATAATGTCACTTCAAAGTCCACTTTGTTCGCTAAATATTCACAAATAACAATGGAAACTACTAAAACACTCTTTGAATATAACTAAACGAGTTTATCAATAAGTACAAACAACTTTTTGATCCGAAAAACACGCAAAAACAACGAAATAAATACGAGATAACCGACCGTGTTTACAGACGACATCACTACTGCATAGAAACAACAAACACTTTTATCAACATATGTTAGCAGGCCCGCCAATACAATAAAACGTAAAAACTGTCATATTAGCAGGCAGCCAACCTCTTTGGCTTTACATTGATGCATAAAATACTTCGTTCCGATGAGTAGAAGCTTATATATATGAAAAATACTGGATCGGTCATTTTGTGACCGATGGCACTACGGAACGGACCCTGTCGGTCATAAAATGACCGATCGGCAGTTCCAGGGTTAATAAAAACTTAAATTGGTATTTTCTTTTTAATCATTGGTTACCCTTAAGTTATTTTTGTGTATAACTAAAAAATGGAAGAAACTAGGCTACATTTTTGAACCCTATGGGGTAGGCCTAGCTATATCAATGAGTTTTGGTTAACTTATTGTTTGTTTAACGTCCTATAAAATATAAGTTTTTTTTTTGTTTATATTGAATATTGATAACTTAAACTTAAGTTAGTTTCATTTATAAAGGGAAATAAATAAACAAAAACATAAACAGATCATAATTTAATGTTTAGGCCTAGGCCTACATAAAAAAAAATTAGAAATGATATTGACCCGATTATTTATACTGTAATCACAGTGATTATGATCACTAGCCTATATATCGATCCTTAAAACAATAACATATCGCAGGTTCTCTGTGGAACTGTAAGTTTAAGTTAACTTAGCCTACCCTTATAATTTTGCAGTGTGTTTGGTAAGTAGCCTACATTTTATAAAATCAAATTGATAACTTAAGTTTAAGTTAAACAACAGTATTTACGGGTAGCCTACACTTCCATATCTGTTGGCACAAACAACCAAATGAGTAATAATGATTATTCGATTGTTTAATCCGATACATTGTTTGGTTAGTTAGGTTAGGTTAACCTTACCACACACCTCCACACCCACCTTCGGCCTTAGGGTACACTTCCATATCTGATGGCACAAACAACCGAATGAAAATATCGATCGATTGTTCGATATATCGTTTGGTTAGTTAGGTAAGGTTAACCTAACCTAACTAACCAAACGATATATCGAATTAAACAATAGAATAATCAATAATACTCATTCGGTTGTTTGTGCCAACAGATATGGAAATGTACCCACCCATATTTTTCCGAACTGTCTTAAAATAGCAAGAACCATTCCAATTTTCAAAAAGGGAGACCTTTCAGTGATGTCCAACTATAGGCCAATCTCCATACTACCAGTGTTCTCCAAGATCTTTGACTGTCATGAAAATACAACTGATGGCCTACCTTGAAAATAATCACTTACTTTCTGAGGCGCAACACGGTTTTAGGCGCGGACGCTCAACGACCACTGCATTTACGTTCCTTGTTGAGAAAATCACTAAAGCCTTTGAACAAAGAGAGTCAGTCCTTCTGAGACTCTGCGATCTGAGCAAGGCCTTCGATGTCGTGGGTCATGATCTGCTCATAGCAAAACTTAGAGAGTATGGAGTTGGAGGTGCTGTCCTTGACACCTTGTCATGCTACCTGGCCGACCGCAAGCAGGTTGTCTCCCTGAATGGTGCTTCCTCTTGTATTAGAAACGTCCCACACGGAGTACCTCAGGGCTCGGTGCTAGGCCCAATCCTCTTTACCTTGATGATAAACGACCTGTGGCTTGATGAATCCACCATGTTATTTGCAGATGACACCACCCTCATATCACAAGGGAAGGATATTGGACAGGTTCGGACGGAGACTGACCACCTACTGGAATGGGCCAAAGACTGGTTCAACATGAACCGATTCAAACTGAATGAAGACAAAACTCAATCGCTGCTGTGCACCCTGAAGCTTGATCTGCATAAAGACGAAGCCGAGAAACTTCTTGGGTTTTGGCTGGACCCCAGGCTAAGTTGGAATACACACATAGATAAGGTATGTACAAAACTTTCCGGAGTACTATGTCTTTTAAGAAAGCTTTGTTACGTCATCTCAACGACCTATTTACTAAATGTGTATTAAATGCACTTTTCCATAGCAATGTCACCTATGGCATAGCGATGTGGGGACACGCACCACTAACTCAGGACATTCTCCTCTTACAGAAGAAGGCTGTAAGAGTTATAACATCCTCAGACATTGACGAACACTGCCGGCCTCTCTTCATGGAGTTAGGAATACTAACAGTGCACAGCCAATATGTCCTAAGCAGCCTGCTACTCCTGAAAGATAACCTTCACCGTTTTGAAATGAGGGAAAACCAGCATAGCCATAACACTCGTAAGGCCCAAGACCTCGATCTGCCGCAGTGTAGGCTTAGCCACTCCATCAAAAGCTACCCTCGCTCAGCTATCAAGATCTTTAATACGCTGCCAAAAAAAGTGAGAGAGTTGGACAGTGCGAAGTTCAGGGCAGTACTGCACGGCCATCTGGTAAATAGACCCCTCTACTCATTAGAGGAATTAAAGGAGGTGCCACTGAAAGATAGCTGAAAACAGCACTCCAGTAGGTTAGGAATAAAATCGCCACAGCCAAATAACAAAAATTATTTTTTTAAGTATATTTCTGCAAGAAGTTTGTAAATATTAACTTATTAAATATTAATATTAAGTTTGTTTGTAATATTAGTTTTTAAATAATTTGTAAATAGTAGGCCTATGTTAACTTAATATGCCTCTGACACGGTCTATCCGACATTGTCAGTCAAGGATTAAGGACACAAGTATCAAGTAAGTAAGTACCGGTACCTAACTAACCAAATGATATATCTAATGATCGATATTTTCATTCGGTTGTTTGTACCAACAAATAGCCTATAGAAGTATCCGTAACTTATTTACATAGGATTCCGGAATCAAATATTTTAATCTATATCTACCAAAAATTGCATCCAATAATATTATATATCGATGGTTTTTTTGGAAACTCTACCCAATGTTTGGTAACTAACTTACTTAAGTTAATCCTAACCTGGTGTGGTCAGTAATAGAGTAGGCCTAAGTAACCATAAATTTAACTCAACATTCCACATTCAGTGATATTAACTTTAACCTTAAAACCACCATATAAATAGAACCTTCTCCATTTACATTATTCGAATTTCCCTCTTTTGAGGAAATCTAAAAATAATATGAGCAAAAGACAAGTGGAAGTGTGGAACCTTCTTGCTTATAGGCCTAATATGTTTCACTAGAATAAGTTAGCAGTCTACATCATAAAGTACTTTTCTAATAATATCACGTGTTGCAAATACTGTACGTACATTAAAATAATTAATTGTCCAGTAAATCAATGAACACTAACTAGTTTAAACACTCTTTTTAGTCTTTCACACCTACGTCACGCTACATGAACCATGAATGATATTTTATTTTATTAAAACTGAAGAAAGTAAAGTAAACAAACGACAAGGACAACAACCAACAACAACACTGCCCTCGTAAGCTAAAAGGCAGTAACTACAAAAATATCACATTTTGAGGTAAGTGCAAATCTATATGTTTTGAAGGTCGAGGAATCCAAAAATGTAGGCGAAAACACCGTATCTCAAGCCGTTTTTGAGATATCAAACTAGTTATTTACCGTATCTACCAACAAATGTGCAAATACTAAGTCAAAACACCGTAACTTTGGTTTACTTGGCCAGAAAACAGTAAGCAAAAAACAGTTACGGCTTTCTGGAATAGTATTTCTGCCTTACTGTTTTTTGGCTTAGTATAGTCTCACCCAAATCCACTTACGGTTCAAAATTTTACCATTAAAATGCATAGGAAAGCAAAACATTAAATTTTGAAGACCTTCCTATAATTTCTGTTTTACATACTCTATGCATTACATGAATATCTTGTTGTTAGGTGGTAAACGAATTTTACAAAAAAACAACTTGGAGGGAAAGTATCACAATAGGCTGTTTTCAGTAGGACTCCCTATTTTGTTGACCCGGGTCAACAAATTCAATATATTTAGAAAAAAACCACTTTGAATGTAGAAATTTACATGAAACTTGGAACGAAGGTATATCCACATGTATTCTACTCGTATGTAAAATTTGGTAACGATAAAAAAAATATTAATCTATTTTATTAACTAAAAACCGGCCAAAATAGCTCATTTTATTTTGTTGACCCGGGTCAATCGCCTAAAAAAAGTACTTAGAATTAAACTATATACATGAAACTTGGAACGAAGGTATATCCACATGTATTCTACACGTATGTTAAATTTAGTAACAATTAAAATATATTTACCTATTTTATTAACAAAAAACTGCCATAAAAAGCTAATTTCATTTTGTTGACCCGGGTCAATTAGCAATAAAAGGTACTTAGGATTAAACTATATACATGAAACTTGGAAAGAAGGGATATCTACATGTATTCTACACGTATGTAACATTTGGTAACGATTAAAAAATAGTTACCTATTTTATTAACAGAAAACTGCCGTAAAATGTTTATTTCATTTTGTTGACCCGGGTCAATCAGCAATAAAAGGTACTTAGAATTAAACTATATACATGAAACTTGGAAAGAAGGTATATCCACATGTATTCTACACGTATGTTAAATTTGGTAACGATTAAAAAATATTTACCTATTTTAATAACAAAAAACTGCCGTAAAAAGCTTATTTCATTTTGTTGACCCGGGTCAATCAGCAATAAAAGGTACTTAGAATTAAACTATATACTGGTATAACTGATAAATATTTTTTAATCGTTACCAAATTTTCCAAGTTTCATGTATATAGTTTAATTCTAAGTACCTTTTATTGGTGATTGACCCGGGTCAACAAAATGAAATGAGCTATTTTGGCCGGTTTTTAGTTAATGAAATAGATAAATATTTTTTAATCGTTACCAAATTTAACATACCTGTAGTTAAAAAAAATAGTTACCTATTTTATTAACAGAAAACTGCCGTAAAATGCTTATTTCATTTTGTTGACCCGGGTCAATCAGCAATAAAAGGTACTTAGAATTAAACTATATACATGAAACTTGGAAAGAAGGTATATCCACATGTATTCTACACGTATGTTAAATTTGGTAACGATTAAAAAATATTTACCTATTTTAATAACAAAAAACTGCCGTAAAAAGCTTATTTCATTTTGTTGACCCGGGTCAATCAGCAATAAAAGGTACTTAGAATTAAACTATATACTGGTATAACTGATAAATATTTTTTAATCGTTACCAAATTTTCCAAGTTTCATGTATATAGTTTAATTCTAAGTACCTTTTATTGGTGATTGACCCGGGTCAACAAAATGAAATGAGCTATTTTGGCCGGTTTTTAGTTAATGAAATAGATAAATATTTTTTAATCGTTACCAAATTTAACATACCTGTAGAATACATGTGGATATACCTTCTTTCCAAGTTTCATGTATATAGTTTAATTCTAAGTACCTATTATTGGTGATTGACCCCTTTTTACTGTTAATGTTTACTAGGCTAAAAAGGCGTATCACAAACCTACCTCCTTTTGGCATGGGAAAATTTTGTTTCTTAAAAGACATTTTCCTAAGCCAAAAAAAGGTAAGTTGAGATACGGCTTTTTGGCCTAAAAAACGTTAACAGTAAAAAGAGTAACTGGATTAAAAAATATGAATGTATCATTATACATTAATAAAAATATATTCATAGTCTCCTACATTGAAAAAGAAGTGGTTTGAAAAAAAAAATTATTGAATTCGGTCAACCGGTTAAATTAGAAATCGAAAAAACATGACTCTGACTGGCTTTGACAAAACATCCATTTTCTCAGATTCGTCATTTATGTTGATACGGCCTTTTTGCTTACCACGGCAGAACACAAGGGGTCTGATGGGGGGTGGGTCTGAACATAGAGACTTTTTTTGTCTATATGGTCTTTTATTTTCTGACTTTAACGGGAGGTATCAAGGCAACGATGACATCATAGTTTAGTTCAAAATTCCTGCGTGAACAGCGTTGTAGTAGAGAGCACAGCACAGCGCGTAGTTTTTACTTCACTAAATTATAAAAATACCCCCACCGCAGCAAACCTGCAGACTAAGCGAATTTCCATTTGACTGATTGGATTTACACTGAAATGTCTACTTAAAAATATAACATTATTCTTGATTTAAATAGAAGTACCTGGGGACCGAGCTTTGCTCGGGGAAAATCGTTAGTTTACTCTGAAAACAGTCACAGTATTGCAGATACATAAATCCATTCCCAAAACTCCACACTGCTCACCTTTACTTATTCCTTCAGCACACTCCCTACGTCGTGGACCTGTTTTTCTCTCTTCCCATTGCATGTTATAGGATTGCAGATACATTAATGTAATTGTCACAGACAGTTCCCACACTCTGCACTGCTCTTACTACTTCCTTCATCACTTCCTACGTCACGGACCTGTTTCCCTCCCTTCCCATAGCATTTTATGATTGCAAGTACCTTAATCTAATTGTCATAAACAGTTCCCACATTCCAGACAGCTCGCCTTGACTACTTCCTTTACCACTTCCTACGTCACGGACCTGTTTCCCTCCCTCCCCATAGCATTTTAGGATTGTCAATACCCTTATCTAATCGTCACAAACGGTTCCCACACTCCGGACTACTCGCCTTGACTACTTCCTTCACCACTTTCTACGTCGCAGACCTGTTTCCTTCCCTTCCCGTAGAATTTTAGGATTGCAGATACCCTAATGTTATCGTAAAAAACAGTTCCCACACTCCGGACAGCTTGCCTTTACTACTTCCATCATCACTTCCTACGTCACGGGCCTGTTTCCTTCCTTTCCCATAGCATGTTATGATTGCAAATACCTTAATCCAATCATCATAAACAGTTCCCACACTCCAGACAGCTCGCCTTGACTACTTCCTTCACCACGTCCTACGTCGCGGACCTGTTTCCATCCCTTCCCATAGCATTTTAGGTTTGCAGATTCCCTAATCTAATCGTCATAAACAGTTCCCACACTCTGGACTGCTCGCCTTTACTACTTTCCTTCATCACTTCCTACGTCACGGACCTGTTTCCCTCCCTTCCCATAGCATTTTATGATTGCAAGTACCTTAATCTAAATTGTCATAAACAGATCCAACACTTCGGACAACTTTCCTTTACTACTTCCTTCACCACTTCCTACGTCGCAGACCTGTTCCCTTCCCTTCCTATAGCATTTTAGGATTGCAGATAACCTTAATCTAATCGTCATAAACAGATCCCGCATTTCGTACTGCTTGCCTTTACTAGGCCTACAATGTATCGAGCAATCTTCAGTATAATCTTTGCTCAATATAGTAACAAGTGATGATTTCCCTTTTGTACTGTATTTGTAATTTGCTAGTATACTGTGGGTAGTTGCCTTATAATGAACACATGCTTCAACTTTAAGTCTTTTGTTTACTTTTTCCTTGTTATTTAATTCCACCAACATGGTTACTTAGCAACCCATAAGACTAATGTTAAAAAAATGTGACTTTCAGTTTCGTTTTTCTACGTAATTAGATTTTTGTTGGCATTTCTAACTGCATGAAACTCGTTTTTAGGCCAAAAATAAACTATTTACAAGATTTGAAGAAAATCGTCGGAGCCGTTTTCGAGATCTTTCTGCAAGCAAGCATACATACAAGCAAACATTGCTCGTATTAGAGTATAGGATTAGTTTAACAAGTACTTAGGTTTGCTGCATCAGGGAGGGTAAAACTGATTTTTTTTGTAAAATGTGTAGATAGTTAGTAAGAAATAAAAACTTTTCCAAATTTGATCAAAATATGTTCACAAACAAGCAAACTACAACAGTTTACTTATTCTGCATAAGAATAACATGGGAATTTTAAATTTACAATTTTTTGGAATTTTCTCCGTAACCATTAGGCGCATAATAACGCTTCAATATACTAAATTATTTGTTTTTTTAAGCTCTACAAAATGGTTTGGAAAGAAATTGCTAAATTTTATGTTTTTTGGGTCAAAAATGGGAAAAACCTATTTTTACCCCATAAAACCCCCCGTAAACCCCCGTTCCCATGGTCCGATCATGCTGGATCGCGAACTCGTTCGAATAAACATACTTTTACACGTTTGTACCAATTTTCATCAAAATCGGATAATTTTTGCTCGAGTTATCGTGCTGACGGACACACATATATATATATATATATATATATATATATATATATATATAAATATATAAATATATATATATATATGAATTTGAACGGATGGTGTTTTTGGCCTCTGGGGACCTCAAAACGAAAAAAAAAATCGGTCCCGCGTCCAGGTCTTACCATGAGTACTACGGTAATAGCTTATTCCCTATATGGGAAATTCGCTAAAATTAAGAAAGTTATAAAATTAATCTTATTGTTTTCAATTATTAAATTAAACTGTCATAACCTAACCAAACGTGCTGATTATGAAACAAATCGAATGAAGGTTTACTAATCTAAAAAATATTTTTTCCTACAGTTACCTAACAATGTACATGTTCTCTCACTGATTTGAGAAAGCAAAGTGGCCAATTCGCTCATCAGTGAGACAATGTTTTATATTCTTTTAGCTCAGTGTGTTAACATTGTCCAATCTGAAGCAATTAAATAGTTTACAGGCTGCTGGATGGGGTGGCGAGCAGATTGACGATCCAGACTCAGACAATGTGTAGCTAAATTATAGGCCATACGATTGGTAGCGGGCACCCTTTTGTTATTAATGGTTCCTGTGAGCACACTTTTAGCACAGTTTTTTTTTGGCATGGTTCATAGATCTGTAGCTGAACTGGGCGGGCTAGATCATTTCATTACCCTTAACAATTAGGGGTTATATTTGTTTAGTAACTGGGCGGCACACTTTTTTAAATTAATGATTCCTGTGAGCACACTTTCAGCACAGTTTTTTGGCATGGTTTATAGATCTTTAGCTGAAATGGGCGGGTTGGGCCATTTTATTACCCTTACCAGTTAGGGGTTATTTGTTTAGTAACGGGGGTGGCACACTTTTTTATCAATGATTCCTGTGAGCACACTTTCATCACAGTTTTTTGACATGGTTCATAGATCTGTAGCTGAAATGGGTGGGCTGGGTCATTTTATTACCCTTACCCAGTTAGGGCTTATTTGTTTAGTAACGGGGGCGGCACACTTTTTTTATTTTATTCTTGCGTGAGCACACTTTCAGCACAGTTTTTTGGTATGGTTTATGCCATGATTCTGGCCCGCCCAAATACAATTGATTATATAATAATGATTAGAAGAGCACACTTTTTTTAATGGCCGTTATAAAGAGAAACACTTTTTTGTATACATTAAAAAAAAGTGTGCTAGAATGGGCGGGCCAGCTCGCCAGCTTCACGTCACTGGAATGGAATGCAAGATAAGATTGAAGTGGAAGTGGAAAGTGGAGTGGAAGATGGGGCTGATGGGAGATGGAACTGGGAGTGGGAAGTGGGACTTGGGTGGGACTTGACTTGGGCTTTTGACGGGAGGGGGAGAGGGAGAGAGAAATGAAAAGAAGAATGCGTGGAGCGTGAGTGCGAATGCAATGAATGAAGAATGAAGATTGAAGAATGAATGTAAATGAGTGCAATTTAGAAAGGGAAAGGAAATTTAAATTTTGTATTTAAATACCTCGAGTGTGCTGTACTAATTTTTTTACTTTGTAAACAATTTAAGTTATTGTGTTTCACATTTTTCGAACGAACCATTGTAACGAATCTATTTGCAACGACAAGATTGTGAAGTGACTTGAATGTGGAAAGCTATGACCAGCTCTACCTAAAATAGTGAGTAATTTTATAGCCTATGCATTTATCCGAGATCGTCTGACTTGTTAATTTTGTTACATGATAATTATTTTAACATAGATTTTACTGTTTTAATTTTGCATGGATTATCCTTGTAGTAGGCCTAACTTAGGATCAAATCTTTTCTTACCAATGAATAGGAGCACAGATTTTTATTATCTGTGATAGGAGGTCTAAACTTAGGCCTACTGTATCTTAAACTAGGCTAACTCCATTTAGGTGCAGGCCTAGGCCCTAGTATGTGGACTTACCTAGACCTAACTTGCATATGAACCAAGTTGGGATTCATAGACAAAGGATGATAGCCTATACAAACAATGTTTAGGGTACTAACAGTTTGTGTCATAATTGTTTGTGCCAAAACAGATACGTATGGAAGTGTACCCAATGTTAAACTTAACCCTCCGAGTGTTAAGCGTCGCCCAATCGACGCACAACACACCCGCCGTGGTGTTAAATGCGTCGCTTTTGCGACACACAAACATCGTTTAAGGCGAAGGCTCTGGGACTGACTGAATCAGATTGAACTGGATCGAGATTGGTATCGTTGTTTTTGGCAGATTCTAAGCTTTCTCCTAATGTCTGTTTCAAGACGCTTTTAATTTTAGTTCTGAAAATATTGTAGCAGACAGATGACGTGCGTATTTGTAAACAACTTGATTAACCTCGCACCGATGACTGATGTGTTGTATTACGTTTATCACTGTTTTAGTGTTAAAAATAAAAAGTAGTGATATAGGTGGTGCATTAAGTTATAAGAAGATTTAAGTGATTTTGAAGGGCTGGTTGATGATCCTGAAGAAGTAGGTAGTGATATTGATGTAAATTATCTGCCAGATTCCTAGCTATGGTTAGGCTATGCATTCTTAGCTGACGCTAAATGTACGAAATCTGTTTTTCACCCATAACTTAACTTATTTATTTGCAAACCTACTTCCTTAAGTATTATTAGGCCTACTTATATTTTTCTAATCCTCATAAAATTTAGAACAAAGTGGCTTATTTTAAAATATTTGTAGACCTAGGCCTATAAATTATAAAAATTTATTGAGCGCAAACTTAAATTTTTTCATTTATTTTATAATTGTTGAGAAATGTTAACCCCACAAAAATTTTAGAAAATTTGTTTGTAATGTTTATGCATTTAATTGAAGCCCATAATTTTCCCAAAAAAAAGATAGGTATAAAACAGTAGGTAGAGTGTTTTTAAGTTTCTAAGATACATTTTAATAAAAACCTGCGATTGCGCAATAAGTAGGCCGACATTAATACCATCACTATGGACACTTGGAGGGTTGAGATAAAGCCTTTGAGAGGAAACTAATTTACAGTTTGGCCTTCAGTAAACAAACACACTCTAACTTAGGCTTATCACGTTGAGTGCGGCCGTTCCCGATAGGGTACTGTGTTCGGCCCCCGTAGTTGCATCTGTACCCGATCGGGAACGCTCAGCAATGCACCTCAGCGTACACCTTCAACTTTGCTCTAGCGTCGGTTGAAAGCGGAGCTACCCCAGGTTCGTAGTAATCACTGACTGTTTTTCACGTTATTTTGAAATAGCTACATTAAAGAACCTGTCAACTGCTGAAATAATCGAAAAATGAAAATCTGTATTCTGCCGTCACGGTTTACCAATTGAGCTACGATCTGATTGTGGTACACAGTTTGCTACCAGATACACTGGTCTTGAAAACTCTGAATTCAAAAAGTTTGCTCAAAGCTATAACTTTAAACTTGTGACGAGCAGTCCAAGCTACCACCAAAGTAACGGTGCAGCTGAAGCTGCAGTCAAAATAGCGAAGAGTGTACTAAAGAAAAACAAAGACGACCCATATTTAGCCCTCCTAACCTACCGCAATACACCTCTATCCACAAGTGGATACAGTCCTGCTCAGCTAATATACAACAGATCACTGCGAGATAACCTGCCTGTTTTACCTAAAAAACTTGAAATCAAACCCGATCTCTCTCAACTAAAGGAAAAAGAAGATACTTACAAAGCATCTTACAAGAGAAACTACGATAGGCGCTACGCTACAAAAGAACTTCCATCGCTGCCTGTAGGTAAAAAAGTATGGATCCAAGACCTAAAAAGAGAGGGTATTATTATCAGCTTAGGACAAGAGCCAAGGTCATACTGGGTTAAGACAGGAAACACTACGTTGAGAAGGAATCGACACCACCTTTTGCCTTACAAAGGTAATACAACCAAACCGAACAATCCTATTCCTTTATCCATCAAAGATACAACGTCAGATCCTCTGCCATTTACTACTGTTACTCAAAACAACTCTTCCCTATCAAATACTGCTGAAAGAACAACTACTACACCATCTAGAATAACTCAAGATAAAAGTAAACCTTCCTTTTTCACGATCAACTACTCCCAATCAAGAAGCTGCAATAAAACAATCATCAAGAGGCAGAATTATAAGACCTACGAAACGTTTTCCTGACTAAACTCTGAAAAGAAACTCAAAGGGAAAGATGTTTTGGTGCATTGAAACACATGACAAGTTGAAACTGCATCCTCGATACATTTGTCTAAAAACCAGGCCACCAAACATAAGTTAGCTCCTAGCAAGCATTTTCATATGGTTGATTCCCAGTTGCTGTTCATAATGCAGCAGCCGGATCACCGCATTACAAAGTTTTTCAGGGACGACCACCCTAGCACCCAAAATCACACAATTATTATCCACGGATAATTCTTCCCTCCTTCTATAAAAGTCTAGTAGGCCTAACTCAACTCAACATCCTTAACGTCTGGCCAGCCACGCCAGATAAAATTTCGGACTTTAGACAACACCTGATCCTTGTCAGTTAGCCTAGAAATATCCTTAGAGGTAATGGTCGCATTACTCACCAATTCAGAGCAGTTGAATACTTGCACACAGGTGAAAGTATAAGGGCCCATCTCTGAAGTTGTGCGGCAGCAACGCCTGAAACTCCATGTTTGCTTCCGAAGAGGGTTATCAAGCAGCTGATTTTATCAGACAAATTACAGATAAACTTACCGTAGTAATTTACCAATCACACGTAGGCCCTTAGCTCTTCTTTATTTGTAGGTTCCGGGGCATCCCGAATAGCTTCTAAAATTCCTTCCTGAGGAGTAATACCTTCGTCAATCAAACAATATCCCAGATATTGAACACTAGATTGTAAAAATCTACATTTATTTTCATTTACCTTTACTCCATCTCGTGTAGGCCCTAATCTTTGTAGTACCCTTTCCAACCTTGACAGAGCCTCCGCTTTAGTTGCCCCTCCAGATAACACATCGCCCAAGTAGGCGACAGTCCCCTCCTATCATCCAATGATCTTATCCATTGCAGCCTGGAATAGAGCAGAAGCAGACGACAAAGGTAGCCAAAGTTAGAAGTTATTGAGATTCCTCAGCGACTGACAACTGAAGGTACGCAGCTTCAAGATCTAAGACAAAGACAGAAAACTATTTACAACCCGCCTAAGAAGCGAAAATATCTTCGGGTTGTGGTAACGGGTAATGTTTGGTTTGAATAACTTGATTAAGAGTCACTTCAAAGTCACCACAAAGACGCATTCCCATGCTCTTTTGAATTACAACTAAAGGCGTAGCCCAATCAGCACTAGTTAGATGTACCCAATGCTATTCCATCCGCATCCATACGGTCAAGTTCATCTTCCACTGCCTTCCGCAGCGCATACGGCACTGGCCTATATTTACAAAATTTAGGTATGGCCCCTTCCTTTAACACAATGCGAGCTTTCACATCTTTTATTTCACCTGGACCACCGTTAAATGTATATTTTTGTTTCAACTGTTCCACAACATATTGACCAACAATACATGTTAGGTTAGGTTTGTTCCTCTTACGAGAATTACCTGTGACCATCTGGTCATTAAGTTTATCCACGGGTAGACCAGAATAATTGCATGAAAATATTGATTTCCAATCTAATTGATCATACTTAAACCAGTTGCGTCCTAGTAGCATCGGTTGATTTTGTCGATTAATTTTCACTACCAGGAGCGGCAAACAGTATGACTGACCATTACATACAACATTTACTTGGGCTTCCCCCATAACCTTCACTTCATTACCTGAGTATGTATTTGTAAGCAATTTTATGTCCACTGGACTCAAACTCAAATGTGCAAAAAATGCTTATACAACTCTTGAGGACAAATGGTCAGAGCTGAACCAGTATCTACACCATATCAACAGACACATTTTCTATATCTAGTCTTACCTGGAAGCCAGGATTTACATTACGAACACCAATATTATACAATGATACTTCCTCCATTTGATCTAACAAGCTAGGCCTAGGCCTAAACTCCTCTTCACTTTCCACTTGATGGACTTTGAATTTTCCTTTTTGACTTCCTCCATTTGATCGATCAAGCTAGGCCTAGGCCTAAACTCCTCTTCACTTTCCACTTGATGACTTATCAATGCAACGCAGACTTGATAATCCCTGGAACTAGTAAAAGACTGTTCAGCAAAGAAGGTGTCACCCAAGGTGACCCTTTATCAATGATTTTGTATGGATTAGCAACTCTTCCACTAATTCAGGAATTAAAAAGAATGCCAGATGTTTTCCAGACCTGATATGCAGATGATTCATCTTGTCAAGGATCCCTTAATAATGTGATACAATGGTGGCAAAAACTTAAAGAAATTGGTCCAAAATATGGATACTACCCTCAAGCAAAAAAAACCAAACTAATTTGGAACCATGATTTTGAAATTCCCCAAAAAGTTATGAAACAACTAATCGGAGGGAACGAGGTTGTTTATGGCAGCAAGTTTTTAGGAGGCTTTATTGGCTGCGAGGAAGAAAAGAAAAAGTTTGCAACAGAAAAGATCAATGCTTGGACCCAGCGTGTTGAAAATATTGCTGAGATTGCTGAAAAACACCCTCAATCAGCCTATACTGTTGCTACAAAATCATTACAAGCAGAATGGACTTTTTTCCAGAGAGTAGTAAAAGTTGAAGCAGAAATGTTCAGTCCAATCCAGCACACTATTAGAACATCACTTTTCCCCAATCTGTTTGGATTACAAGAAGGCCTATGTAAAGAAGATCATGAATTACTTCATCTAACAGTAAAAAGTGGAGGAATAGGGATGGCTGATCCAATAGTACAATCAAAACACATATATGAAACGTCAAAAAGAGGGTGTGAAGTTCTCTTACAATCTCTTGCATTAAAAACCTCTTTTGAGTTCAGTGAGCATGAAGATGCTTTAAAAAAAGCATTAAAGTTCAATAGAGGACAAAAGAAAACTGAAGAAAACAAATTATTAAATGAAAATTTTAAATATTTTTCACTACAAAGGCAAAATGTAATTCTAAGAAATGCTGACCCTAAATCAAAACATGGCAGCTGGTTATCCTGTGTACCATTGAAGAAATTAAATTTAGACATGTCACCCTAAGAATTTAGGGATTCCCTGGCACTGAGATATGGTCGGACACCGATCCATTTACCAACCAAATGTGATGGCTGTGGGAAAGAATTTAATACAGACCATGCCCTTACATGTCCTGTAGGTGGCCTAATTATCAAACGACACAATTAAATTAGAGATGCTTTAGGAAACATTATGGAACAGGCATGGGGGAATTGTATCAAAGAACCCCTTATAGCAGAGAATAGAAATGCAAATGGCCTGCAATTAAAGCTGACTTGGCATGTAGAGGGGTATGGGAGATACAGAGGGAAGCATTATTTGATATCCGTGTCGTAGACACCGATGCTCCCTCATATGCTTCCAAACCTCATGACAATGTCATACAAAACGCAGAAGAAGAAAAGAAAAGAAAGTATATTTCAGCCTGTGAGAGCCGGAATGCCTCTTTCACTCCTTTGATAACATCAGTCTGCGGAATCCTAGGCAAAGATTTTCAAACACTAATAAGAGCACTAGCTGAGAGATTGTCAGAAAAATGGGTTAAGCCTTACAGGCTGGTAGTTAATTGGATCAGAACGAGACTGACTTGCTCAATTTTAAGGGCAACAAGTATGTGCCTGAGAAGATCTAACAAAAATGGAGATCTGCTCGAGAATTTGAAGATGGAGCAGGCATCCAACATATTTGTTGAAAGAATCAAAATTTTTAGTAATATCTGTAAATTTAGATTCATTTGACTTGTAATTATCTATATTAAATAGTAAAAAAAAAATAAAAAAAAAAACAATCTTGAATAACAATAACAATATATTATAACAAATAAGCTATTTAATTTTACTACGTACCCTACCATGTTTATTTACTTTCAGATTAATTATTTAATCTGAATACAGTAGCCTATATAATATGTGTGCTAATTACCAAAACTAACCCTCGACTTACAATTAATTTGATGTGTTTCTGCTTGAAAATAACACCCCCAGATTGAAACGGGAAAGGATTCTAGAGTTTAAAAATTTTAAATCAAATATTTGTGGTGGGGAATGTAAATATGATGGGAACTTAAATAACATGTTTTCATCATCAAATAACTTATTGATTAGCATTGTTATTGGTCTCAATTTTAATATCTTTTAGGCTATTGTTAATTTTCCATCTTGTAAAAGTTTACAGTACCTATAATAGCAAATTTGTTAAATATATGTATTTTATGGTTATTAAATTCATTACATATATAGTCTGTTAGTACTATATATGTACAATTCAAACTGATTTTGTTTCTTAATAATTTATGTGGGCCTAATTAATTGAATAATCCTCTTTGTAAGGTATATAACTAATTTTTGCTCATAAAAATCAATTAGGCCTAAGCCTAATCATTTTTATATGTTTTAAAAGATTGTATTCTGTTTCAGGTCAATTATAAATTTAACTTAAAAAAATCAAGATGAGTTCTTTACAGAAACCCCGTGGATATTTGTCTTATTCACCTAGCACTCAACGAACCCAAGGTGAGGACTTTGAGTCTATTTCAAGCAGATTTGGAACAGTTTCTTAAATACAGTTATCATTATTTTGAAGGTTGATTTGGGTCAGTTTGCAAGCGGAAAATTTGACTTTTTGTCTACTCGCCAAACTTTTAAAGCTGTAAAATCTTTGTTGTATTTTATTTGGCTGGGATTTATTGCCAAAGACACTCTGGGGTTGTGCTGTGATTTAGTTTTTAGCAACTGTTTAACTCTGTGATGGCAACTAATTTCTAACTCAGTCAACACTGTTTGTAGTTACACTAATTTTTTACACTAAAATATGTCATCAAAGATAATTGTAGGCCACAAAATATACCTTTTATGCCTATAGTAGGTCTGAAATAGGAGCTTGTCAATTTTGGTTTCTGTTGGTGGTTCAAGGGATGATATCCATTTATTTGCAAACTCTTATTGATAGCTCTGTTTTTGTCTACAGTGTTTAGTTGTAAGCTTCTAACATGTTAAATATGATTCCTTGACGTGAAAGAACAAACTGGCTTTGTCATGCTTAAATAGGAATTTAGAAAAATAGTGCTTAGCTGACTGTTTACTCTTGTGTTAACACCGATCTTATTGATAAATCATGCAAATTCTTCCCAGCTTGAGGAGCTTACACATTTTTATTTGCATTTGTATTTTATTCAAACAGGATTTAGTAACATTGTCAACAACATGGCTGCAGGCCATTTTTCAGGCAGCCTGAGTGGCAGCGAGACAGACATTTCGACTTCCAACGAGAACCTGAGTCACGAGGAGAGATATGTGATTCAGCACACAACGAGACAGGAACCTCAGGGACAGGAGAACCGTAGTAGTCAGGATTACAACACTCTGATCATACACGGACAGGGCGAGGATAAGTTGTGGAACAGTAACAGGTGAGGTTGTTACCTCCCATTCCAATGATAAATCTGTTGCTTTGCTAGTGATGAATGTAGTTAAATTCAGCCAAAGGATAATGATATCAATTAGCCACGAGAATGTCTGGTAAATCCACTTTTTTTTTAAATTCAAACTTAAGTTTAAAGACAAACAATTTCTTTTAAAACTCTAAATACCTTTTATGCCACATCACCTTAAGCCAAAAGACAAACTTTTGATTCTAGCCCACTCTGTTAGTGACTCATTTATGAATGAAAAGTGCTTTTATTTTCACACAAGAAATGTCCATTAATTAATTTTCTTAACACTAGATACAATAATCGTCATGGAAACCGTCTGTTGCATGACAAAATCAGCTACAGCTAGTCCATTTGGATGTTAATAACATGATAAAAAGGTTTATTTAGTATTTGGCCTTCATCCAATAGTGTTAAAATATTTGTAAAAATCTTATATCACTTGTTATTGTGGTGTTGATTCAGGCTGTCGAGCGATCCTTCGCATTTGCCTTACAAGGCAGTTGTAACATCCAGCAAAGAGTCCCTGAGGCATCCGTACTGTCCTAGTGTTCGAGAGATCACGGATATACCAGACGACTACTTGAATCAGTCCCAGGTACAATATGTCTGCACGCATTACCAGTTTGTGGTGTTGTTAGAGGGATTTATTATGCTGAACTTTGGTGTAAAATAGGTTGAGAAAACCTTTAACTTTAAAAAAATCAAGTTGATAGAATTTTAGCGACTATTTGCCCATTTTAATCACCTTCATATGCTAGAACGCTAGGCTCTAGCCTGTAACTGTTTTACGGGTAAAGATCGTTAAGTCAAAAATCTTCCCCGGGAAGGGTATCCCGAACTTCCACCCCTTCTTGCTGAGACAAGGTGAAACTACCCAGAGCCCCCCTTGTCTCAATCCTAGATCCACCACTGGTTGTAGACCAAACTAGCTGTAATCCTTGCCATTTTCTATTTGCAAAATCTCACAAACACAGACCACACAAAGACGTTAGAAATTGGTCTACTAAGCAAAAACTTAGTACACCACACACACTACTACACTTGGCAGGTTTGCTGTCAGTCTTGTCCTTCCACATTTGTCAAATTTATCTTCGTTGTTGGTTGGTTATTTAAAATATTTCCCGAATGATTAGATGTTGTTTGATACTCTTTTCCATAATTCCATAATTATTTGTTTACTCTATGTTGACATTTGCATTTGTAATTATTTTAATTAACAAGTGTTCAAGTTAACTAACTTTTGATATAGTCTTGACTTCCTTGGCTTAAAATTAGTCAGAGATATTGAAATATTATTATTTATCTATGATGTAAATTTGAGTGTATCTTCCTTCAAAAGTGTTATGTGGCACTGTTAGGTTCTGAAGCATTTGGCCAAGGAGGTGAAGGTGGGGCCGGTAGAGGGAGAGAGTGATGAGGGGGTACGCCCCCCACCACAGTACCCCTGGTCTCGGGGGCTACAGGTCAAGCGTCTTCCGATCTCCAAGTCTCAACCCGACCTGTCACACCTAGGATCTCATGGGGAGAGCAATGATACCACCACCTTCAGACACACTCTGGGCAATACTAGGTGAGTCACCATTACTTTAAAATAATAGTCAGTGTTAAAAGAATTTTATTTAACATTTATGTTCGTTTACAATATTTGTACATCTCAGTTCATTGTTTTTCATTCCAAATAAAGGTTCATCATCAATTTCTTTCTGTTTAATATCTTCATCTTTTTACATTTGGTCCGATTACGAGCCGGATCATAACTAGTTATCAATCATTTTTTGTTATTCATCAATTTTAACACCAAGAAAATTATCATCAAACCTTTTATCTTACATATTTATCCTGGAAAATCGTCATGTCATCTCTGGAATCTGAACTGAATTTACAAGAATCACGAATTATCTTAATGCAAAATCACCTCAAACCTTTTCAAAATGAAAATGCAGATTCCACATCTTTGAATAAACCAGAAGTTAAGACAAGACTGGAAGTTTTGGAATCAACATGGATGAAATTTAAACGTGACATGAAATGATATGTGAGTCAAAACCAGAAGTTCTGAAGGACAGCATATACATCATTGAAGATCATTATAGTATTGGACAAGAAGCCTACATGATGAGTAAATCAGCAATGATTAACCATTTAGAGAGCCTACAAGAAGAAAGCAAGGCTGCAGATCGAATAGGAACAAATCCAAAACCAATCCTTCCTAAAATACCTTTGATTCAATTCTCTGGGGACTATGAATCGTGGAAATCTTTTAGTGATATCTTCATGTCCTTAGTGAACTCAAATCCCGATTTAACAAATGTTGCAAAAATGCATTACCTAAAAGGTTGTTTAACAAGAGAAGCTGCACAACTAATTTCAAATCTAACCATATCAACAGAAAATTATGAGCTTGATTGGAACAAACTTGTTGGGTGTTTTGCGTTTATTTGAGTTCGGGGCACAAAAACAAACGCATTCTAATCACTAAACACTTGGATGCGATCTTCAAGTTTTTAGCCATTGGTGTCAAAATCTGCAAAAAGTTTTAAGAACAACCTACTGTCTACAGTAAACGAGTCTCTGAGCTTACTCAAAGCCCTTGGGTGTCCAACAGAACATTGGGACCACATCATTGTCTACCTCATTGTAAATCGTCTGGATCACGACACTCATGAATCTTGGGAATTGAAACAAGGAGCCTCGGTAAGTCCATCATCACTCAAAGATCTACTCGACTTCGTCGAAGGAAGAGCTCGAGCTTTGGAGAACATAGAAGGGCGTAGTATCCAGAAATCAGCAAGTAGTCTCAGTCCAACACAGCAGTTTGGTAATGTACCCTCTAAGATCATATCTAGCTTCAATCATGAGAACAAAACTAAGCATAAAACTAGTGCTTGTGTTCTTTGTAATCAAGATCACAATCTGTTAAAAGGAAGACACGATCAGCCTTCTTTCACTCGCTTGTTCTATCAGCTTAGATGACGATGCAAAAAATATGCTTTTTCATTAACTCTATTACCAAGATACTATATTATTTTATGATGCTCACACTCTTAGACACGATCAGTGATATTTCACTCATCTTACTTTCAGCTTAGACAATGTTACAAAAAAAATAATAGGGTATTTTCAGTAATCTATCACCAAAGTAGTTGATAGTATTTGTATACATTTCTGATCTTAAAATTGTTGTTTCAGGAAAGAAAATAAATATGTTCAAAATATGTTAGAAATACTACTACATGAAAACAATAGCTTGAAAATAGAACTGGAGTCATGTTACCAAAAGGTTGCCAAATCACAAAAGGTAAGAAGTTAATTTTAAATCATTATAATGATATTTTTTAAAGGGAGTTTTGAATAAAAAGTTACTCAGTTTTTTGTTTTGTGACCTATAATTTGTGTACCTACTGATTAGTCCCTGAACCTTAACTTTCTCAGTTAAACTAGCTTAACTCCTTCCCCTTAAAAAAAAAAAAAAAAAACCCTAACCAGACACTTGCTGGCTTTCCTTTAAAATCAAACAATATATAGAGTAAGTTGTTGTATTTGTAAATCTATTTTGCCCACACATTTTTCTTTTATTCAAACCAAAAACTTAATTATGTCAATGCATCAGCATACAATAACTACATTATTTCATCATTAAACATTTCTTTTGGCTGTGCAGTTAGAACACGAGGTGGGCAAGGTCCACCGAGCTCACGAAGATTTGGTGGCGTCATGTGAGCGGAGAGAGCGGCTGGAGCGAGCTGCCCGGCAGCGACTGCAAGGCGAACTGCAGCGCATGCAAGAGGCTAGCGAGCAACAGCGGCAGCAGATGGAGATGCTCACTGCGCAGTTGCTTACTGCTCGAGCATCCTCACCTGACCACTCACGCAAAGAGATGAGCAAACGGGAGGCACTCATAGCACAGTTAGTCACTCAGAGTGAGTAATGTACAACCTAGCTGAGCAGATTTTATTGCTCACCTGACATTAAAAAACCACCGGTGTGATCCTGAGCCAGTAAAGTTTTTGTGACTCAAAACTGGACCAAGTCTTCCTTGATCATTTTGCTTTTCATAAATGGTCCTGGTTAAGAAACAGATGGAACAGTTGGTCCTAGTCGATAACAAAGCCATACAGTAGGGTGGGCTGATAAAAGTCAATGATTTTTTTTTCAAGTTTAATATTTTGAAAAAGTTGTTATTGTAAGACCAAAACAAGGTATGTAAACAAGGTTGTAAGTGTCATTTTCAAGACACTGTGGAATTAGTATTTAAATAATATTGTATATTGTTGTTGTGTATTTTATATTTAGATCTTCCGGTCGCGCATCAGATGTAAAAAATTGCCAAGTATTGCCAAAAATAAAAAAAAACTTAATTTTGTACCAGACTTATTTGAAATTTATTGATATCATTTTACCAAAAATTTGCTTGTACACATTTAGATAGTAACTTAACAAAAAAGGGTGTCCACTGACCGGGAAAACTGGGAATTATGCGTGAATATTGTATTTAACCGGGAATTTTTTGCCGCTATCGCGCATGAAAACGATGACGTATCCGTGACCGCGGGAAACGATGATGACATTTCCGTGATCACGGGAGACAACGATGATATTTCCGTGACCGCGGGAGACGACGATGACGATTTCGTGACTTGGGAGACGACGATGACGTTTCCGTGATCGCGCATGCCGAAGATGACGTTTTTCGTGACTGTGGGAGACTACGATGACGTATCCGTGATTGCGCATTCGGAACGATGACGTTTCCGTGACCACGTGAGACGATGATGACGTTTCCGTGACCGCGGGAGACGACGATCACGTTCCGGTGACCGCAGGAGACGACGATGTCGTTTTCATGACCGCGGGAGACAACGATGAGGTTTTTCGTGACCGTTAGAGACGACGATGACGTTCCCGTGACCGCGGGAGACGACGATGACGTTCCCGTGACCGTGTGAGACGACGATGACGTTTCCGTGACCGTGGGTGAAGACGATGACGTTTCTGAGACCCCGAGAGACGAGGATGACATTTCCGTGACCGCGGGAGACCATGACGACGTTTCCGTGACCGCGGGAGACGGCGATGACATTTCCGTGACTGCGGGAGACAACGATGGCGTTTCCGTGACCATGGGAGATAACGATATTTCCGTGACCGTGGGGACGACGATGATGTTTCCGTGACTTCGGGAAACGATGATGTTGTCCAAAAATACTGCTTGACGATGATGACCGTGGGAAATTATTTGAATTAAGCTACGATCAAGGAAGATCATGATAACTTTACTGTGATCGCGGGAGACGATTATAATGTTTCCGTTACTGCTGAACAGTTTTAGGATTTTTTCACGACCACAGAAGACAGTGGTGATGTTTCTGTAACTGAGTGAGATATTCAGGATTTTTCAGTTATCGCAGATAACTATGATGGTGTCTCTACGACTGTGTTAGTAGATTACAATATAACCTCGAGTTTGGCTTGACCAAAAATTTTAAAATGGCAAACTTCTTGAACGTTTTTTTATATTTTTTTGTAATATCTTCATTTACCTTTAATGTGATAATTTTTTAATGTGTTAAGAAGGGTTTAAAACATAAATTGGCTACTTGCAATTTTGTATTTAATTTCTGCATTATTATTTCTGTAGGCCACTTGGAAAACAACCCATTACTCCAAAATTATACTATATGAAAGTACATAAAGCCAGGGGTTGGTGTAGTAATCCTTCAGAAAATTTGGTAAAATTGAAATTATCAGTATTAAGAATCTATTTTTCAGGTGTCTGTACAGAGATTCGATAAATTTTAGTATCGCCATATCACTATTTTTAGGAAGTTATTAATAAATTGCAGGTTTGAGGATTAGTTTTTAATTTTTGGATTATTTAATCAGTAATACTGTTAATACTGTTCGATGAAATGGCGACCATACATAGTAGGTATTTTAAGCCAAGTATGAATGGAGATCATTTCATTTCATATAGGCCTAACTTTATTTATTAAAGTACAATATATAGATACAGGAATGGCGTCAAGAGTAATTTAATAAAACTAACTAACTAAAATACTCATCATTATCATGCATGGCATAACAACATACCATCAATATTAATAGCTTTTCAGATCAAATAAATTAAAACAAGCAGTGCAATATGAAAGTTTATACATGAAAATATCAAAATTAAAAATAGGCCTATAGATAATATTATTTTAAAACCAAAAGTTTCAATTGATATGAAACAGAGCAATTAATAACTTACAGAACTAAAACTCTTCAAAGGAGTACATAGCCTTGTTGATAAGAAACTTTTTCAATTTTGATTTAAATTTATTTTTGGAAGTTTCTAATTTGATTTCTTTAGGAAGTTTATTATAAAATTTGGAACCGGCATATTTAGGTGTCTTCGTAAAAAGTTGCAGAGTATGTGAGCTTGTGGCCAGGTTTTCTCGATTTCTAGTGAAGTAATTGTGATAGTCTCCAATAAGTTGTAATTCATTAAATCTGTCTTTTACTGATAATACTGTTTCATAGACATACATTCCATAAACAGTCATAATATTCTCAGTTTTAAAATATTCTTTGACTGAAGTTCTGCGTTTTAAATTGCACAAAATTCTAATAGCTTTCTTTTGCTTTTTTAGAATTGATTTTAATTTTTTCTTTTTTGCTGCACCATAAAGTGAAACTCCAAATGATATGATTGAATGTATGTACGAAAAATATATAATTTTTAAAGTTTCCTTTTCACATAGGGGTTTTAATCTTGTTAGCGCATAAAGGCCAGAAGAAATTTTAGAAAGTAACTGATCAATATGATGATTCCACTTCAAATTTTCATCAATTTCTAATCCCAAGAATTTGATGTGGTCTTTATTTTGAATTATGTTGTTATTAACTACAATTTTTGGCAGATTTTGCGGTTTAGTTTTTCCTGCTTGGAAACACATAAAATTAGTTTTATCTGTGTTCAAACGCAAATTATTCGAATTAAAAAAACTGTTAAGTAATAATATATCAGAATTGGCCTTGGCTTCAAGTTCAGCATAGGTTCCTGCGGCTATTTTTAAATTTGCATCATCAGCATATAGGCAAAGCTTGCTAAAATCACTGAGTTGAGGAAAATTTTTCAAATAAAAGATGAATAAAAGAGGGCTTAGGATCGATCCTTGGGGCACCCCATATTTTACTTCCCGAGTACAAGAATTGTAAGAAATTTTATAATTTTTGTTATTATAGTGACTCAGTTCTATGTATTGTTTTCTATCAAAAAGATATGACTTGAACCAGTTCAATGCAGTACTATTTAGTCCACTACTACTGAGCTTTGAAAGCAACAACTCATGAGAAATTGAATCAAAAGCTTTACTGAGGTCCATGAACAACCCTACCACTTTAGATTTACTCTCTAAGCTATCAACGATGGATTCAATGAAAGCTGTGGCAGCTGTTATGACAGATCTGCCACTTTGGAATCCATGTTGGCAGTCATCAAATGTACCATTATTTTCAAAGAAGCATACCAGTTTGTTATAAACAACCTTTTCATAGATTTTTGAAATTGAAGGCAGCAAAGCAATCGGTCTATAGTTTGATACTGTTTGTCTGTTTCCTTTTTTGAATAGCGGTTTTAATTTTGATATTTTGAGTTTGTTAGGGAAAATTCCTGATATCAAAGATGAGTTAATGAGATGAGTTATTGGTTTAAGTAGGACTGATTTGGCTTTTTTAAAAAGAACCACAGGAATACCATCGTAGCCAGCACTATAGGAATTTTTTAGACTTTTAATAATTTTATCAATGTCGCTCTCATCAACAAAGCTAAATTTAAAGCTCCTTTTATCTGAAGGAAGTACAGGATGCAGAGTGTCATCAACATTTTTTTGAATGTATTTATATTATTGAAAGTTTCAGTTTCTTTTACAACATCTGCAAAATAATTTATGAATTGGCCACAGACCAGGGAAGGGTCAGAACATACATCATTATTTACTACTAGGTTTATATTATGATTATTAATAGTTTTGGCTCCTACTTCAGAGTTCACAATCTTCCAAGTTGCCTTATTAACATTGTCAGAACTACCAATTTTTCTTTTATAATACTGTTTTTTTTTTAAGAAAACAATTTCTTTCTAAACTGCTTATTTGTTCCTCTAGCCTCATGTAACAACTTTTTGCAATTTAACTCTCTAGCCGCTTTGTTAAGATTAATAATATTTTAATGATGAGATGAGTGTAGGATGAGTGGCGCGATCTTGTAGTCTTGTTAGTGACTAAGGCCTACATTCCTTAGACACAGCTGTTAATTAATAGCTCATACAGCTAATGGCAACTAAGGGACCTGCAGTTTATAGTGGAATCCGAACCACATTTTTCCATGGTATATACGAATTGGTCTAATTATCAGGATAGTACTGCGGATAGTCGTAGTATTCACTCGTGCGGACATTAATCCACACCAGGGAGTATCACATGAATGAAATGAAATGAAATGAAATGAAATGAAAATGCATCCACAGTGCATGCCTATAAATATCCACAATTCGTGACCACAATATGAAAAATTGAATACTTGTGTCAGGCAATATTACAGCAATCATAATTTTTTTCCTTAACTGAGAATGCTCTTTCCGATAACTAAAATAGCAAGCTGTGTTAGCGCTTGCTAACACAGCTTAGTATAAGTTTAGTACAAGTGCAGATTAGTATAAGTTCTGGCGCCAACCGCTAGGATTGCCATGTAGTTACGGCGCACACCGCTGCAGCGTCTTCTGGTAGTGTACGCCAAGAACTGACGACGGCAGCGAATCGAAAACTTAGCGGTACATCGCAGAACCTTTCTTTGACAGTCTATATTTATTCTATTTGTCTATGACTGGAGGTAACACTGGCACGGCCAATTTTCCTAGAAAATCGACACACTGAAAAATGTTGTTATGTTGTTAACTAGAGGAACCAACCAGCTCATTGGCTTCTGGCTTTATTACAATCCCGTAATCACCTTTTCATCCCCTTGTTATAGTTTTTTACCCCAACCCACTATGTCTCAATTCTCTCATCCAGTGCTACCTCCAGTTGTATCCAGTTGTACCTCCTGTAGCTCTGTGTAAGGGTTGTAAATTGTTAGAATTGTAATGGTAACATGTGGTAACACTATCATTGTATTCATTAGACAAAGAACTAGCTGCAGTGAAAGAGAGACAAGAGATAGAGTTGGCAGCCCAGAGAGCAACTTTGCAAGAACAGAGAACTCACATAGACATACTAGACACAGCTCTAACAAACGCACAATCTAATGTTGTCAGATTGGAGGAGGAGGTAAATGTTTAGAAATTAATATTTCTTGACAAGTGAAAGATTTGGAAAAAATGCTGTGTTCAAAATTATGTACGCCTACTGCAGTTTTTAATCTAAGAAAATGTGTTCGCTATTTATAATTTTAACCGTCTTAGTGATTTGGTGCTTTTGTAATGAAAAAGGCTGTGCGATTAAATATTGTTGTAAGGTTTGGGAAAGGTCTAGTGTATTAAATTATGATGGTCCCTTAGTATTAAATTATGATGATTTTGTTATTTGTATCATTTTATTGTAAGCTTTTATTTTGTCCACCATAAACGTTTGTTTTGCATTGTAAGAAATAAGAAATAATCCTTAACACTGATCTTATTGACAATATTTATATCATGCAAATGCAAATAATTCTTAAAACGTAATAATTTACAACAAAACGCATAGTTAATTTAAACTAATTTCTGCAAATGTACCGTAATTATTTTTGTTTAGTCTTTGCATAGTTACAAACATAAACAAAGAATAAAATGTAAAAAACTGGTGGCCGCTAGCATCAGTGAAGGAGTGAAATGAAACGGTGATTTACAATTTGAAGCTTTCACACTGAATATAGGCCAATTCTCCAACCAATAAGTCCTTAGCATCGTTGTGTACTATATAAAACGCAAAGAACTGTTCTCAGCAACGCTTGCACTACATCATCAATCCTGTAGCACTAAGAGTGTCAAAGGAACAACTTACATTTTTACTGTGGAATTTTGTCAGTAAAATGCATTACAAGTTTAAAATTCAGATTATATGACCCCAAGGTTGCTTAGAGTTTAGTATGTGTTTATTGTAGAATTTGTGTTTTCTCTCTTAAGCCATATTTCTCCAAAGCACAAAGAAATAATTTAGATATAAAATTATGAATCTAAGATCTTTAATTTTCCCCATGCATTATTTTTAGTGTCGTAAAAAGCAAGTTCATGTAGAGAGAGTGGCACAACTACAAAGAGCTTTGCAAGCCCTACAGCTGGCAAGTGATAGACGAGAACAAACTGAACGAAAACTTCGACTTCAGCTTGAGAACGAATTAAGGAATGAAAGAGCGAGGAACAATTCTAGTCAAGACACCTTAAATCAAGGTACCAATCAACCACTTTTCATTTTGTTTGTGACAAGCATTTCTTAGAATATAAACTGCTTGCTTTTTTATCTCACTGTGTAAAAAAAACTAAGTAGTTAGGTACTTTAAGTTACTTTAAGTACTTTAAGGAGGGAGTGAATGGTCCAAAATTTTTATTACCGATCAGTTGATCCAATAGTTAAATAGCCGATTGTTTGATCCAAAAGCGTTTGATCCAACGTTTAGATCGTATGATCCAAAGATTGGTAGATCCAAAAGTACAATCAAAACCAGAAATGCAATTTTACTTCTGAAATAGACTGTCGGTTTCACTTTGGATCATTCGATCGCAGTTGGGTCGTTTGATCCAAGAAACAATATTTGAGATCGGATGATCCAAAAGTATGAACTATTGCTTCTCTCAGATTGAAGGAAGGCGTTAAAATATTCGCCGTCATCAGCAGCGTTCATAGCTACTGTTAAATATGGTATTAAGAGGTAAAATTATAAGAAATAGCTTTAGATCCTAAAACTGAAGATCTATTCAGTTTTGGTAGAACAGGAACAAGATGAGCAGAGAAGCGATGGCTCTGGCCAGAGTGATGAAAATCGAAGGACCACAGATGAAAGATGATGTTGAAAAATGACTATTGTTGTGTAGTATGTAATTCTTCACTGATTTGAATTAAAACTCTTCTTCATGAATAAAAAGAAAGCAATTCACTACTCGTGAATATTCTGGACTGTACACGAAAAGTTACAACACATTTACTTTAAAATAAAATAAAATATATCTTTTTGGATCCTAGCTTGACACTTGTTACTATAATTTGGAATTAATAACTAAATGAGAAATAATGAGATAATGCACTTGGAGCGGTATGAGAGAGAGATTTAAATATGTAATACAAACTTAACCAAACTTAACCAAAAGGTCTTTAAGCACTGTGAGAGAGGTGAGTCTAAACTGAACTGACTAGTAGGAAGTGCAATAGTGAACTTTGGACAGTGATGTCATCATATCAGCTGTTGGATCTTTTCAATAACTGAACCAAAAACTTGACTTAAATATTAATACTACTTGATTAATTGTTTATATTTTACTGTATTATAGTTCATGTTATTAAATAAATATTCTATTAAATGTCTTTAATTGAATTACTAAATATTTAACAGCTACGGTATCGATTTTCTTAGGTGATATGAAGTATTTATTTATATTAATCTTTCTGCATTCGTACTTATATACATTAAGTAAGTTATAGTAATTTGTTTTCTTAGCTGAAATATCACCTAGTTGCATTCAACCTGAATATGCAAAAAACAAAACTTGAACATGTTCTTCAAACTTAAGACTAGTTTTTGTTGGATTTGGATTTTATTCCGGGTGGTTGTTGTGGTTGCAGGAGAGCCTGTAGAAAGTGTTCCTGAGCTGAAGAGACGTCTGAGAGAGAAGGACGAAAAGATCATGAGACTGGAAGGTGAAGTGGCGAAATGGGAACAGCGCTACCTGGAGGAGAGTGAACTACGTCAGGCAGCCATTGATGCGGCTAGCATACCCAAGTATGTAGTCTACACTAACGTAAAAACTGGAATGTATAAAAGCAACTTTTTGAAAGTATTAAGTGAATTTCCCTACGGGGAAGAAGCTGTTACCGTAGGCGGTATGGAAAGGCCTTGAACCAAAGACCGATTTACTTTTTCTTTTTGATGTCCCCCCCAAAAACAGTATTTATTCAAACTAGCTGTTGCCCACAGGATTCACGCCATTTTATAAAACTATTGATTGGTTAAGTTAAGCTGAAATAAACAAAACAGAATACAGTAATACAAACAAATAATCACAACTGATTTTAATAAGGTAATAAATTGAAAGAATAACAAACAAATAAGTAAAGCTGATGTATATTTAACACTTATTAGTTATATTGAAAGTTCACTTTAGAAAGGAATTATGACCTTAAAGGACTATTTATGAAATAATGGATAGTTTTGCGCAAGGGTTCTCGTCATGACGAACATTTTAAGGCCTGATTTCACCAAATTCACGCTAACGATGGTTTAGTTAATCTTCGGTTAAAACTAACTGATGATCTAAACCACAGTTAAGGAAATCTGGTTTCACCAATAAAAACGCATCAAACCTAACGCCGGTTTTATAAATGAGAGTTTAGAGTAATATCCAGGTGGCGGTGGCAGTAAATTGTCGTAATACCGTCTGTTATGGCAGCAATGATTAAACATAACCTAGAAAATAAATTTGTGTTTATGAGGTAGTGAAAACAAAACTGGAGACAGTAAGATTAGAAGTATACAATAGATTCTGAGCAAAAAGAACAAAATACAACAGAAAACATGAATAAATAGCTAAACAATTAACATGAGTAAATAAAGGCAAAGCAATGTTGATGAAACAGATTCAATTGAGGAACAGAAAATTGAGTTTTGCTGTTGAGTCAAGACTCAAAATCTAACTCTTTACGGTACATTTGAAATAGTGGGAAAACGTGAGTCAAAAAGAGTTGCTAGAACAAGACATAATAAAGGTACCATAAAAATAATGATTTTCTATAAATACTAGCAGAATAATGACAATTTAGGTTTAGTTATTGTCCTTAATTACGTCTCAATGAACTAAATAATTGTTTGACCGTAGGGTTAGGGTTACTCAAAACCCGGAAAAGAAAATGGGAGCCTATTTTTTCGAACAAGGAAAAAAGAATTTCATAATTTAGGTAGAAAAACACTTTTTCAGCTGGGATAAAAGAGTGGCTGATCACATACCTAGAGATACGCCTTAACTAAAAACCTTGTGGGATAACCTAAAGAAAAAGGCAAAACGTTTTGATAATTCATATCTAGTAATAAAATTAGTTTCGTGTTAGTTGAATCAAAAATCAAATTCAAATCAAATCAATAACTTAATTAACTTGAAAAACATTTACTGCCAATTGTTTAAATTTATTGGGCAAATGGTTGTACAGCTTCAGGCCTGTATAAAAAGGACATTTTTCAAATGTTGTTGTCCGATGAATTGGGTAACTGTAAAGGTTCTTGTTTCTAGTGTTGTATTTATTTTTTATTAAGAACTTTTCAAAATCTTTCTTATTTTCATGGACATAATTAAGGCTTTCATAAATAAACAGGCTGGGGAAAGTTAATTTGGACTGACTTTTTAAATGTTTTTTACAGTAAGCCCTAAATTTAGCGTTTGCCATATTTCTAATGAATCTTTTTAGAATTGAAAGAAAATATCTTTTTACTATTTGTTGAATTTCCCCATAAGGTAATGCCATACCTCAAAATCTATTCTACATGGGAAAAATAAACTATTCTGGTAACATTTTTGATGCACACTGAGAAAGAACTGAAAAAGCAAAAAAGAATGATCTTAATTCTTTTAACAAATAATCAATATGTTCCTTCCAATTTAGTTTTTGGTCAATGATCACTCAGAGACATTTTTTTGTGAAATATCTGTCATGTTTGACTTAAAAAAAAATAAGACATTTGTTTTATCACTGTTTAGTGCCAGGCCATTAGCTGTAAACCATTCACGGAGATCTTCCAAAGTTTTGTTTACTGAAATTTACACTTCCGACATTGAGTTTCCTTTCACAAAAGCAGTGGTATCATCATCAAAAAGTATTAATTTTGAAAGAATTTTTTGGGGCAAGTCATTGATGTAGATGATGAATAATAAAGGCCCCAGAATTGAGCCTTGAGGAATTCCACATTCTATATTTATCCAGTCTGAATAGTGCTTTATTCCCTTTTTATGATGAGAGTTCTTTGTTTACGGTTTGCCAAATATGATCCAAACCATTTAAGAAAGTTACCTGTTATTCCAGTTTTACTAAGTTTGTGAATTAGAAGTTCATGATTGACACAGTCAAATGCCAAATGCCTTAGACAAATCACAGAAACAGGGCCAGTTTAACCCATACGCGAACTACACGGTCGCATATGGCGCCACAAAAAAGTGGCGCCAACGGGACACAATTTTTTTTTTCAGAAGACAAAATTGGAAACAACTTTACTGACAAGTGAAGAAGTGAACCACTTAATTTGGTTTTTTTCGCTCAGAGTTCAAGTATCCAAAGCACCACACCAAAGGCATTTATTCTGTTTGTATCAACAGCACTTGAAAAATGCGTATACTTGTACAGCACTTAAACTCAAGGCATTGATTGCAGTTTCGATTTGTACTAGCTGATGCTCGGCAGCGTACAGTGCGGCGCACTTAAACTCGAGGCATTGATTGCAGTTTCGATTTGTACTAGCTGATGCTCGGCAGCGTACAGTGCGGCAATGACTCATTGTTGAGATAAGCGCGCAGCGCCACTTTTCACAACAAGAAACTTCCCCCTCCCTTCTTCCCCTGATCACTCTTCCCTTCTAGAGCAGAGCAGTACGTTATATTGCACTCTTAATTGAACATTCTGTATTCTTTTTGTCAAGGTAATACTTCAATTCGGGTTTTCATGTTTTCTACATGTTTAATCTAAAAATTCATCTCTTGTCATCTACCTACACCTGTTTTTCATTGTAATATGCTTAAAAAAACTTATATCTTATCCAAATTATCCTGTAAAAGTTTATTTTACATTTAGAAATAAATTGTTAAGTTTGCGGTTTGCTAAAGTGTATATGATGAGTAAAAGTGTAAAAATTTTAAATTTCTGTGAAACAGAAATTTTCTGTTTTTTAACAGTATGTAACGGGTCAAATGTGTAGGGGGTAAAATAACGGCGAAACCACGAAACTTAAACAGCTGAATGTAAGCTGTTGTTGTGCCCTAGTCGCGACGCTAAACTGACATCGCACCTAACCTCCAATTCCAAGACAGCAGACGACGGTGGTGTCAGTTTGGTTGTTTGGTTGTTCAACTGCGTCTGAGGGCGGGCTACGGGAGAGAATAAGAGCAGCTGATCCACCTTGTGAGCGAGGCAGCTATAAAGCATGTTAAAGCTGTCATACCTGCCTGCCTTTGCTGACACGGGACTCAGCTGACTCTGTTTGTGCTGACCAATCAGGAAGCGTTTTAACTTTCGTCTCGATTCTGAGAGGTAGGTGAAGGGAGAAGAAGATTTGTGAAGATTGTCATTCGTATTCCCGGCTTTTGTTGAGGCATTCGCTAATTATTCGTCCTTTCGTCTTCGATTTGAAGAGTTTTCGTGCTACTACTTTGTCGTAAAAGTCACAGTAAGTTCTGTGGTGCATCGAGTGCGCGAAAAATCGTTTTTTTACAGTATTACTACTTCGTTTGGTAAGTTGTACAATAAAACTTAGACAACTTAGGTTTTTCTTTCGGCAGAACTTTGTCGAAGTTCATAGGCTAGGCCTGATTCGCAGACCTCGTCATACGCTTTAACCAACTCATTTAATTAAAGTATCGGAGTTGGTGACAGATCATTTCGATTAACGTTTCGTAATCCATATCTGGGACTTTCTTTTTAAATTCTTAAACCCCTTTGAAAAGTTCCCGAACGCCCCGAAGTTGGCCCCAGCAGACAGGTTTCTGCTTGATAATTATTGCAGAAGTTTGCTTAAGTTGAACACGTGGGGAAGTTGAAGTTTTAGTTTTTCTTTTTTCGTATCAGCTCCTGAAGCAGTTTTATTTTTAGTTTCAGTTTTTTTCTCTCGTTTCGTGTCTCACTTGGACAACTTAAGCCAACTCGTTTTCTTGTTTAGTAAATTCAGACTCTGTGGGAGTTAGGCTAGGTTAGGCCTATCTGGTACTAACCTTGTTTGTTTCAGGTTGACGGCGTAACTCCGTAGGTAAGCGGAGTGACTACTTAGCTTACTTGTTGATTTGTTAAGTTAGCTAGTAGTGTGTCATTTAGATATTTGCCCACAGAGTCAAGTCAAAATTATTTATTTCCCCACAAGCCCTAGGCTAGAGTGGTGATTTCGAGTAGGGTGTTTAGTAACCCGCAACGTTCGTCTCGAGCTCTGACAACCAGGGCTATCAAATTTAGGCTATCCGAATCACTATCGACTCCTGGGAAACTCCCCGCGACCAGACTAGGGCGAATCCTGGGATCCTCGTTTTATTACCGGTGGCGTAATTTCCCACTTGTCGTCCGCCAGGAAAATTACGTCACAAGTAGTTGAAAAAATTCTTTTAATGCAAGTATTATTCTAACCTAAACTTATAAAAAAGTTCTTCCCAAAACATTTCACAAGTAGGGTTAAGTTATGTTCATGGTGGGTGGGGTGGAGGGGGGGATTCTAGGTGGCGCTGATTCGGGTGTTCGCTTAACTCTGAAAAATTCCTAGAACGGCCCTGCACAGAAAACACCAGCTGCATACTGTGATTCATCCAAGGCCAACAGGGTTTAATCATTAACCTTTTCTCTTATCCACCTAGTTTGGCAAACAACATAGGCAACTCTTCTCTTCATCACTAGTGACTACATCACTTTCATTCAAAATCTAATTCATATTGTATGCTCTTCTAGCATTTGGCCTTTCCATATAAACTTAAAACTTAAAGCCAGCTGATATTTACTTAACGGAAGATTAAAGAAGTTAACCGTTCAAAATTGGGCAGTTAATTATCTAACGACGGTTTAGTCTAAACTAGCTCAAACAGCGAGTGGTGAAATCCGATTTCGTCAGTTATGAACTAACTGCAGTTAGAGCAAGGCTTAACGGTGGTTTAAGTGTTTGGTGAAAATCGGGCCTAAGTATATGGTTTGGGGGTGTGACTTGTAATTTTCTCAAAAGTTCATGGGTACTTTGGGATTTACATATGGATTTCTTTGTGTGTGTGTGTGTATCTATAAATATGATAACTTGAGTAATTTTGGTCTGGTTTTCATTAAATTTGGCATGAATGTGTATAGCTGGATAAACTTGAATGAGTTCAGATCGGGTCATAGGAACAAATTGTTACAAGGTTTTGAAGCTTAAAAAAATTATACATTTTTACCCTTAAAACAAGGAAATGCCCGATTTTTATTACAACCATCTTGTAGAGCTAAAAAAATAAACAATTTTGTACGAAGTTTTACTATTAAAGGTTATGGAGAATATTCCAAAAATTGTAGCCTCCTTTTAAAATTCCCTTGTTATTCTTTTGAATGAAAAGAAAACTGTGTTATCTTGCGTGTTTATGGATATTTTAATCTAATTGGCAAATTTATTTATTTTGTGCTGTACTACAACATTTAATAAATATAAGCTACTTCCCTATAGGGATTTCGCTAAAAAACCTGTTCCCTTCCTCGAAGCAGCAAACCTTAGTACTCTTTAAATCTAACGTTATATAAATGGACAATAAATATGAATTGTTTATGTAAACATTTTTATAAAAAATCCAATCAGAAAAATTTAAATCCGCGTAGTCTGCAGGTTTGATGCAGCAGGTGTATTAATCATTAGTGAAACAATGTCCATGTTACTTCATTAAGCAATTAGATCAAGCAACATTTACATTTATAGATTAACAAATCCTACTATAATATTATAAATGAGAAAGTTTGGATGTATGTATGTTTGTGACAAGTAAACGCGAAAAATACTGGTCGGATTGGGCTGAAATTTGGTGTGATGATAGCTCACATTCCCAATTAACATATAGACGCACTCTTCTCTTATCACAAAAGTCCTTTCGGGCTCCGCCCCAGTGGCTCTGGAGTTTCCCATGTTAACCTTATGAGTAATCATATTTAAAAGGAACTAGCTGTAACCCGCGGGCTTTGCCCCGTTTAACTTCTTAATTTTCAAGATGATCTCGTTTGCATGGCTCAATCACGTCCTGGTTGAAGTTCGTTCGCTACGCTCACTCACCTTTAGGTTGGAGCTCGTTCGCTGCACTCACTTTCCTTCAGGTTAGCTCGTTCGCTACGCTCACTTGCCTTCAGGTTAGCTCGTTCGCTACGCTCACTCGCCTCCAGGTTGAAGTTCGTTCGCTACGCTCACTCACCTTTTGGTTGCAAATTAGCTGTTGTCATAAATGTAAAATAAATAATAGTGCTAGTGCTGCACCCTGTTGGTAATCCTTGTAACTTTAATGCTATTGAACATCACAGAACAGAACCAACTTGTTTAATTGAAACAGCTGTTAAGATTCAATAATTTCATTTCACATAAGGTTAACATGGGATGGGAAACTCCAGAGCCACTGGGGCGGAGCCCGAAAGGATTTTTGAAATAAGAATATGCCTATATGTTAATCGGGAATGTGAGCTATCATCATGCCAAATTTCAGCCCAATCCGACCAGTATTTTTCGCGTTTACTTTTCCCATACATACAGCAACCACCTCTTTTTTATAATATTTAAAAGGAATAAAATAGTTTTGTCAGCTGTTTCAAATACTCAAGTTGGTTCTATGGTATTAAATAGCATTAACAAGTTGTTATAAGGTTTACCAACAGGGTGAAACTATTTTATACAACAAATGTAAAGACAAAAATTTCTATTTTGTGTCCTCTTCCCATTGCAAAGCACGGGTACAACAGCTAGTACATAAATATAGTAACACACAAATATATTAATTTGTTTAAATTTATTTATTTGCCTTATCGGTTTTTTTTATAAACCTTAAATATAAAACTAATGACTATCCTGGAAATAGCTCACTACAAACTATGTTTTTTTTTGTTTTGTTTTTTTGGAGCTGTGAAGTGTTTAAAATATGAAAAAAATAACTTGCTTTTTCAACATCCACTCAAACTTTAAGGTTATGCTAATTAAGTTCAAAGATAAAAATGAATATAACATTAATTAACCAACAACAATTAATTCATGTATATCTACAGAATGTAGATTTTTGCTTGACTATACCTTGACATTTACATGTTTTAGGGATGCTAAGATAGCTGCTTTGGAGAAGACAAGCCAAGAATCAGAGAAGTTGATAGCAGAGGCACGATCTGACAAGCTGAGACAGATGGACGAGGTCCATGCAGCACAGAAAAAAGTGACGGATCTTGAGGCCAAGTAAGTAGAGACACCTTTAGCTGTGGGGTTTAAAAAAAATCTAGAAAGAGTAATTAATTTTTTAGGAATTTTAATACTAGAGCAACTAAGTTAATGAATAAGCTTTTTCAGTCCGTGACAGGATCCATTGGTTTTTTAGCTTCAACAGATAAAAATTACTGCCAAACATTTTTCCCATGCTCTTAACCTTCCATCAGGTGCATCACGGAAGTTACCTCTGGGTCACTACTTTTTTCTTTATAAAAACCATAGTATGTGTTTGGCAGGGCTTTCGCCTGATTTACCTCACGTACCTCTTTTGCGGAATTGGTTTTGTCTACTCTTGCCCCTTTTCCAGCTGTCAGTCCACCTTGGCGAGTGGTTTGCGTCACTACTGGAAGTAGCTTCTGTGTGCGCCCTTGTGTCTTCCGGAAAATCTTTCGGAGCCTAGTTCCGTGTGTGCCCTTGTGTTTGACCTTATTTTACGATATTATAAAATGGATACTCCCGCCGCAGAAAACCTGCAGACAAAGTGAATTTCCATTTGCCTAATTGGATTTATACTAAAATGTCTCCTTAAAAATATCACATTTATTCCCTATTCAAAGAGCATTAGTTTAACGAGTACTCTAGGTTTGCTGCAACAGGAAGGTAGAAAAGTTTCTTTTGTTACATGTTAATAGTTTAGTATGAAATAAATGCATTTTCCAAATGTGATCAAAATATGCTCGTAAAAAAGCAAACAACTTATTCTCCATAAGAATAACATGGGAATTTTAAATTTACATTTTTTTTTTATTTTCTCCGTAAGCATTAGGAGTATAATAACGCATCGATATACTAAATAATTAGTTATTTTAAGCTCTATAAAATAGTTTGGAAAGAAATTGCTAAATTTTATGTTTTTAGGGTCAAAAATGAGAAAAACCAATTTTTACCCTATAAAAACCCCCCATAAACCCCCGTTCCCATTGTCCGATCATGCTGGTTCGCGAACTCGTTCAAATAAATGTAGGTTTACACGTTTATACCAAATTTCATGAAAATCGGATAATTTTTGCTCGAGTTATCGTGCTAACGGACACATATATTTATATAAATATATATACATATGAATTTTGAACGGTTGGTGTTTTTGGCCTCTAGGGACCTCAAAACGGAAAAGTTGTGAGCTAAATCGGATAACCTGGAGTCTGAGATAACCGGAGCTCAGATGATTGGGAGTTAACTGTAGTTACTTGGACACCTACTTATTCTCTACTACATATTGTACTTCCAGGAATTGTCAAAAGACAAAACAATCTGAGAACACAAACACATTTCAAGCAGATAAATTATAATTACTCTGAGATCATTAAACCAACAAATTGTTGTAATAATGATATTTTTTTACAGTTGATTTGCATACAAAGAATAATAAAATATTTCCCTTTATTTTTTACCATCCTAAAATATTAATTTCAAAATAATTTTAACACCTTAACCCTCCGAGTGTTATGTGTCGTAAAAGCGACTCAGAACACATCCGCTGTAGTTTTATGTGTCGCTTTTGCAACTCACAAACACTGTTTATTGCGACGGCTCTGGGACTGACTGAATCGGATTGAACTGGATCGAGTTAGGTATCGTTTTTTTCAGCAGATTCAGAGCTTTCTCCTGATGTCTGTTTCTATACGCTTTTCATTTTAGTTCCGAAAATATTGTAGCAGACAGCTGACGTGCGTATTTGTAAACAGCTTGGTTAACCTCGCACCGATGACTGATGTGTTTTATTACGTTTATCATCTATACTTATTTAATACGCAAGCATGTTTTTTGTGACAATTACTCCTCCGAAACTACTGAACCAATTGACGTGTTTTTGGTCTCATTGGAAAGAGCGTAGCGTGAAGTTGTGCAGGAAACTTTCTTTTTAGAGAAATAATCAGAGAGTGAGACCCTGGGGCCCTTTAAAGTTTCGTATTTCTCCATAAGATTAACATATGAAAGAAAAATTGTTATGCAACTCCAGCTGTTGTCAAAAAATTAAGTGAGAAGAAGAACATATGTTAATTTTAAGCAGTCAATAAGTTTGCTTCTTTTACAGTTTGCTACAAACATTTACTGACTTGGTTGAAATGAAATATTTACTATTTGAATTCGGGTTGGCGTAAATATTCCAATGAAAAAAAGCGAGAGAGCCTGGATAGTTTGATATATTCTGTTACGTACATCTTGGATATTTCCATAATCTTTGGGTCGAATATTTTAAAGTCATCAGAAACTATGCACGTTATTCCTTTTAAAATAACGCCTCTAATACTTAAAAATTGCTCGAATTCGAGCAACAGGGACACTAGTTGTCATTAAAAATCAAAAGTAGTGATATACGTGGTGCATTATAAGAAGATTTAAGTGATTTTGAAGGGCTGGTTGATGATCCTGAAGAAGTAGGTAGTGATATTGATGTAAATTATCAGCCAGATTCCTAGCTATGGTTAGGCTATGCATTCTTAGCTAAATGCTATGTACCGAAATCTGTTTTTTGCCCATAACTTATTTATTTGCAAACCTACTTCCTTATATTATTATATTTTTGGAATCCTCATAAAATTCTAAACAAAGTGGCTATTTTCAAATATTTATAGGCCTATAATTTATACAACTTCATTGAGCGCGAACTTATTTTTTTTTTTTTTTGAAAATTTTGTAGACCTATAAATTATAACAATTTATTGAGTGCAAACATAAATTTTGTTTATTTATTTTATAATTTTTGAGAAATGTTAACCCCACAAAAATTGTTGAAAATTTTTTTTGTAATGTTTTATATGTTACATTGAAGCCCATAATTTTCCAAACAAAATGATATATAAAACAGTATACTTTACATTGTTTTTAAGTTTCTAAGATACATTTTAATAAAACCCTGCGACTGTGCAATAAATGGGTGAACATTAAGACCAAAACTAGAGACACTTGGAGGGTTAAATTATATATACATGTACATTTTATTATTTTTTAACCCTAGCAGTGGCCAATGTTAGAAGTGGGGAATGGCCAACCCATTTTGGCGATTTTGCAGACCTTTTTTTGAAAATTCGTAAAAATTCAACCGTACAAGTAAACCTAGCCAACCTCATATTCATTTTGTTCGGAAAGAACAGGAGAATCTAGAAATAGTAATATCATAATGATTTAGACAGTGTATTTTATCGGTAAAGTGAAAAAAATAAAAAAAAATGAATTTTTTTTTTTGAAATTTCAAAAGCGGCCTTGGTATTTTTTTTCTACGGATTTTTTTATGGGAAATTCATTATATACATTTTGTAGACAATCTAATTCCCTACATAGAAATATATAACATGTTAGGAAAATATTTTTTTTTTTATAAGTTTTTGGGGCGAAATATAAATGACAAACGGAGAACCGAAAAAATTGAAAACCGTACAGTGTTAGTTTATGTTGTAAAAAGTTCTATAATATATGTGTATACTAATAATGATATATACATGTTTGTAAAGCTAATGAAGTAAGGAATCAAAAAAAGTCATAAGGTTTATGGTAAAAATAACTTTTTACCTATAAACATACGTATATAAAATAATGTTTTTATATTTTAGCGATTTCTCGAGAAAAAAAATCCACAGTACTTAGTATACAACTTTTGTACCAAATTTTTTTACTTCAAACCAACATAATAATCTTGTAGTGTATTCAATTACCTACATAAAAATGTATAACATGTTAGAAATATTTTTTTGTAGGTACGTAATAAGGACATAATAATACAATAACCGCAAAACCGCAAATAGGTGTAAACTATAGCCTACAGTGTTTGCTTGTGTTGTGAAACATTATGTAGGCTGATGATATGTAGCCTACATATTTGTAAAGCTAATGAAATAAGGAATCCAAAAAAGTCATAAGTATGATGGTAAAAAGTTATTTTCACCTATGATTAGGCTATGTATCAATTTGAGAACGTTTTGAATTTTTTGCGCATTTCGAGAAAATGGAGTGTACAGTATTTAGTAGCCTAGCCTATATAATTTTTTTACCAAATTGTTTACACCCAAACCAATATAAACATGTTGTAGTGTATTTATTTACCTTTATAAAAATGTATAACACCTTGGGTATATCATTATATAGGTACAACAATCTCTGAATGTCAGAAATGTCATTATAGGACATGATGCTAACAAAATACAGTAGTAGGCCTATTTAGTATAGGCTATAACTTTTTTACAAACTTTTTTACCCCCAACCAAACCATTATAAACATGTTGTAGTGTATTCATTTACCTTTATAAAAATGTATAACACCTTGGGTATATCATTATATAGGTACAACAATCTCTGAATGTCAGAATCGTCATTTTAGGACATGATGCTAACAAAATACAACCTTTTCCTTTTATGAACACTATTTCACACAATTCAGTAATATTTATGCATGAAGATTACTGTTATACACACACACAACACTTCACTAACACTAACACTACGAACTAATAACATATTTAGTAATTAGAGATGGGCGTTATTTAACATAACAGGATGAATAACAGTGTTGCGGCCACGGCAACGTTATCGCGGCAACACGTTGCCGAGAACTCCCTGTTATTATAATAACGTATCTACCAGCACAATGTTGCAGGAAAGCCGCGCGGACAACGAAAACGAAAACATGCATTGCCATTAGTGCCGTTGCCGCAACACTACAAGAGCATTAGAGCAACGATAACTTCTGAAACGAACTAGAATTAGAATAACGCATCCTGTCTGGACAACGCGGCAACGTCCGACTCGCGACTACAACGGGAAACTGAACTGATCAACCGACAACGATAACTGAACGCCGCAACACCGACCGGCGGACAACGGTTTACACAGCGGCAACGAGTTGGCAATCGTTATTGAAATAACAGGTTGCCGCAACACGTTATTGGGCAGCTGCGTTATCGTTATAACCGTTGCCGGAAAACAACGATAATTCCCATCTCTATTAGTAATAAATCGCGGATCGGCAACAACACAAACAAACAATGGCAATACAAGACAGCTGACAGACTGTAGCAGTAATGACTCACTTCGTCGTCTACATGCGAGAATACAGAAATAACCCTTAGTGCAGGGCTGCCACTCTCTGAATCTAAATTTCTTCCTCTTCAAAATGATATACTATATGACTAGGTAATAATAACTTTCACTGTATATAATTCGTATTTTCCATACTGTCACCAGACGACTGTTGGCCATTTGTTAGAAATTTCAAAAACAGCTGTTTTCATAAAATCGTACCGATTGTGCAATCAATATTTAGTTATAAATATCACTACCACAATGAAGATAAAATCAATGGCTATCCCGTGGTACCACCCGCAACATCCCAAGACGAAAATTACCCGAGCAGGGTAATGCCAAACAAGACGTGTTTTGCCAGTTCCCAAGTGTCGGCTGCAAATGTCGTACCGCGCCAAAATTTCATTTGATTTCTAATCGTCGTGACATTGTTATATACCTGCTACAGGGTTTGTTTATGTAATAAAATGAAAGTTCAGAATGTGATCTTTCGAATGGTATATATATTATTCTAATCTGAGTTGATTGTAAGTGTTTTTTTACCGTTAAAAAAATTTCGGCCCATACCGTAACCAGACGACTCTGGCCATTCTAAGCATCAACGTCATACCGTAACCAGACGACGGTTGGCCACTGCTAGGGTTAAGGCTATAAAATACTATATCACATCTTAAAAAATAGTCAAATTTTTTTTATGTTTTAGTTATGATGGGATTTTTGGTAAATAAATAAGACGATACAAGTGGGTTAAATAGACAATTATTGAAGTTTGCATTAGGATTACAAAAGTCGCAACCAATCTTGAATATTAGAGCAAGTACCGGTATCTACAGTTTTTTAATCCTCATAAAAAATAACTTGAACAAAGTAAAAGTATATGTCAACACATTTGACACCTTATCCTTCATTCTGGAAGTTTTTAGTTTTTTTATCAAACTTATAAGCAATAAATAAACTTTTAGGTTTTTTTGTAAATGATCGGTCACTTAACTGGGTTTTTATTTCGCCATAAGTTTTTGATCACGATATCTTCAGTTCTCAGTTAACCCTCTTCTTCAATGAAACTCGATTAGAACCAGACTAGACGGTAGACGCTAGGGTCGCTATGAGCGCTGACCTTGAACAACTTTGGCAGGTATTGTCTCAAATTCGTCTGTCCGCTACTCCTACCACCACTCAAAAACTACAAATTCCCCGTGATTCCTACCTGACTCCTAGAATAAGTAGTCCAGAAGTTGACAAATAAAATTAGTCGCTGAATACGCTAGTCCAGCACTAGTAGTGACGTACGCTGAGTACGTTAGTCTAGGGAGTTAGACCGCAGGATCCGAAACACGATTTTTTTTTTCAATGACTATCTTTATTTATTGATTAAGTAACTCCAGGATAACTTATTCCTGAGCTCCTAAATCCGCCCAAAGTGGTATTTGTAGTGTTAAGACAGTGAATGTTATCCGTTTACACAATAGACATATATCATTCTATTTAAACTACACGGCTGTATGTTTGCTAGGTTGACTGCCCTGTATTGCTTACATTACTTGTCATTACTTTTTCATAGGATGAAGGAGCTGGAGTCCAAATTGGCTGAGAAGGATGCCATGATCCGAGTGCTGCAGAAGAAGCATACATATGACAAAGAGGTTTCTAGTTCCTACCCCAGTATCTCATTGAGCCATCACACACCCCAGACTAGTCTCAATCCACTCAACTCTCAGGATCTAGGTAACTAAAAAGCATACATATGCCAAAGAGGTTTCTAGTTCCTACCCCAGTATCTCATGAGCCATCACACACCCTAGACTAGTCTCAATCCACTCAACTCTCAGGATCTAGGTAACTAAAAAGCATACATATGACAAAGAGGTTTCTAGTTCCTACTCCAGTATCTCATTGAGCCATCACACACCCCAGACTAGTCTCAATCCACTCAACTCTCAGGACCTTGGTTACTAAAATGCATACATATGACAAAGAGGTTTCTAGTTCCTACCCAGTATCTCATTGAGCCATCACACACCCCAGACTAGTCTCAATCCACTCAACTCTCAGGACCTAGGTAACTAAAAAGCATACATATGATAAAGAGGTTTCTAGTTCCTACTACAGTATCTCATTGAGCCATCACACACCCCAGACTAGTCTCAATCCACTCAACTCTCAGGATCTAGGTAACTAAAAAGCATACATATGACAAAGAGGTTTCTAGTTCCTACCCCAGTATCTCATTGAGCCATCACACACCCCAGACTAGTCTCAATCCACTCAACTCTCAGGACCTAGGTAACTAAAAAGCATACATATGATAAAGAGGTTTCTAGTTCCTACCCAGTATCTCATTGAGCCATCACACACCCCAGACTAGTCTCAATCCACTCAACTCTCAGGATCTAGGTAACTAAAAAGCATACATATGATAAAGAGGTTTCTAGTTCCTACTACAGTATCTCATTGAGCCATCACACACCCCAGACTAGTCTCAATCCACTCAACTCTCAGGATCTAGGTAACTAAAAAGCATACATATGCCAAAGAGGTTTCTAGTTCCTACTCCATCATCTCATTGAGCCATCACACACCCCAGACTAATCTCAATCCACTCAACTCTCAGGATCTAGGTAACTAAAAAGCATACATATGACAAAGAGGTTTCTAGTTCCTACCCCAGTATCTCATTGAGCTATCACACACCCCAGACTAGTCTCAATCCACTCAACTCTCAGGATCTAGGTAACTAAAAAGCATACATATGCCAAAGAGGTTTCTAGTTCCGACCCCAGTATCTCATTGAGCCATCACACACCCCAGACTAGTCTCAATCCACTCAACTCTCAGGATCTAGGTAACTAAAAAGCATACATATGCCAAAGAGGTTTCTAGTTCCTACTCCAGTATCTCATTGAGCCATCACACACCCCAGACTAGTCTCAATCCACTCAACTCTCAGGATCTAGGTAACTAAAAAGCATACATATGACAAAGAGGTTTCTAGTTCCTACCCCAGTATCTCATTGAGCCATCACACACCCCAGACTAGTCTCAATCCACTCAACTCTCAGGATCTAGGTAACTAAAAAACATACATATGCCAAAGAGGTTTCTAGTTCCTACCCCAGTATCTCATTGAGCCATCACACACCCCAGACTAGTCTCAATCCACTCAACTCTCAGGATGTAGGTAACTAAAAAGCATACATATGACAAAGAGGTTTCTAGTTCCTACCCCAGTATCTCATTGAGCCATCACACACCCCAGACTAGTCTCAATCCACTCAACTCTCAGGATCTAGGTAACTAAAAAGCATACATATGACAAAGAGGTTTCTAGTTCCTACCCCATTATCTCATTAAACCATCACACACCCCAGACTAGTCTCAATCCACTCAACTCTCAGGATCTAGGTAACTAAAAAGCATACATATGACAAAGAGGTTTCTAGTTCCTACCCCAGTATCTCATTGAGCCATCACACACCCCAGACTAGTCTCAATCCACTCAACTCTCAGGATCTAGGTAACTAAAAAGCATACATATGACAAAGAGGTTTCTAGTTCCTACCCCAGTATCTCATTGAGCCATCACACACCCCAGACTAGTCTCAATCCACTCAACTCTCAGGATCTAGGTAACTAAAAAGCATACATATGCCAAAGAGGTTTCTAGTTCCGACCCCAGTATCTCATTGAGCCATCACACACCCCAGACTAGTCTCAATCCACTCAACTCTCAGGATCTAGGTAACTAAAAAGCATACATATGCCAAAGAGGTTTCTAGTTCCTACTCCAGTATCTCATTGAGCCATCACACACCCCAGACTAGTCTCAATCCACTCAACTCTCAGGATCTAGGTAACTAAAAAGCATACATATGACAAAGAGGTTTCTAGTTCCTACCCCAGTATCTCATTGAGCCATCACACACCCTAGACTAGTCTCAATCCACTCAACTCTCAGGATCTAGGTAACTAAAAAGCATACATATGACAAAGAGGTTTCTAGTTCCTACTCCAGTATCTCATTGAGCCATCACACACCCCAGACTAGTCTCAATCCACTCAACTCTCAGGACCTTGGTAACTAAAAAGCATACATATGTCAAAGAGGTTTCTAGTTCCTACCCTAGCATCTTCATGAGCCATCACATACCCTAGACTAGTCTCAATCCACTCGACTCTCAGGACCTAGGTAACTAAAAAGCATACATATGTCAAAGAGGTTTCTAGTTCCTACCCTAGCATCTCCTTGAGCCTTCACATACCCTAGACTAGTCTCAATCCACTCGACTCTCAGGACCTAGGTAACTAAAAAGCATACATATGACAAAGAGGTTTCTAGTTCCTACCCTAGCATCTCCTTGAGCCTTCACATACCCTAGACTAGTCTCAATCCTCTCAACTCTCAGGAACTAGGTAACTAAAAAGCATACATATGACAAAGAGGTTTCTAGTTCCTACCCTAGCATCTCCTTGAGCCTTCACATACCCTAGACTAGTCTCAATCCACTCAACTCTCAGGACCTAGGTAACTAAAAAGCATACATATGACAAAGAGGTTTCTAGTTCCTACCCTAGCATCTCCTTGAGCCTTCACATACCCTAGACTAGTCTCAATCCACTCAACTCTCAGGACCTTGGTAACTAAAAAGCATACATATGACAAAGAGGTTTCTAGTTCCTACCCTAGCATCTCCTTGAGCCTTCACATACCCTAGACTAGTCTCAATCCACTCAACTCTCAGGACCTAGGTAACTAAAAAGCATACATATGACAAAGAGGTTTCTAGTTCCTACCCTAGCATCTCCTTGAGCCTTCACATACCCTAGACTAGTCTCAATCCACTCAACTCTCAGGACCTAGGTAACTAAAAAGCATACATATGACAAAGAGGTTTCTAGTTCCTACCCTAGCATCTCCTTGAGCCTTCACATACCCTAGACTAGCCTCAATCCACTCAACTCTCAGGACCTTGGTAACTAAAAAGCATACATATGACAAAGAGGTTTCTAGTTCCTACCCCAGTATCTCCTTGACCCTTCACATACCCTAGACTAGTCTCAATCCACTCAACTCTCAGGACCTAGGTAACTAAAAAGCATACATATGCCAAAGAGGTTTCTAGTTCCTACCCCAGTATCTCCTTGAGCCTTTACATACCCTAGACTAGTCTCAATCCACTCAACTCTCAGGACCTAGGTAACTAAAAAGCATACATATGACAAAGAGGTTTCTAGTTCCTACCCCAGTATCTCATTGAGCCATCACACACCCCAGACTAGTCTCAATCCACTCAACTCTCAGGATCTAGGTAACTAAAAAACATACATATGCCAAAGAGGTTTCTAGTTCCTACCCCAGTATCTCCTTGAGCCTTCACACACCCCAGACTAGCCTCAATCCACTCAACTCTCAGGACCTAGGTAACTAATAAGCATACATATGACAAAGAGGTTTCTAGTTCCTACCCCAGTATCTCCTTGAGCCTTCACACACCCCAGACTAGCCTCAATCCACTCAACTCTCAGGACCTAGGTAACTAAAAAGCATACATATGACAAAGAGGTTTCTAGTTCCTACCCCAGTATCTCCTTGAGCCTACACATACCCTAGACTAGCCTCAATCCACTCAACTCTCAGGACCTTGGTTACTAAAAAGCATACATATGCCAAAGAGGTTTCTAGTTCCTACCCCAGTATCTCATTGAGCCATCACACACCCCAGACTAGTCCACTAGTCTCAATCCACTCAACTCTCAGGATCTAGGTAACTAAAAAGCATTCATATGACAAAGAGGTTTCTAGTTCCTACCCCAGTATCTCCTTGAGCCTTCACATACCCTAGACTAGCCTCAATCCACTCAACTCTCAGGATCTAGGTAACTAAAAAGCATTCATATGACAAAGAGGTTTCTAGTTCCTACCACAGTATCTCCTTGAGCCTTCACATACCCTAGACTAGCCTCAATCCACTCAACTCTCAGGACCTTGGTTACTAAAAAGCATACATATGACAAAGAGGTTTCTAGTTCCTACCCCAGTATCTCATTGAGCCATCACACACCCCAGACTAGTCCACTAGTCTCAATCCACTCAACTCTCAGGATCTAGGTAACTAAAAAGCATTCATATGACAAAGAGGTTTCTAGTTCCTACCCCAGTATCTCCTTGAGCCTTCACATACCCTAGACTAGCCTCAATCCACTCAACTCTCAGGACCTTGGTAACTAAAAAGCATACATATGACAAAGAGGTTTCTAGTTCCTACCCCAGTATCTCCTTGAGCCATCACACACCCCAGACTAGTCTCAATCCACTCAACTCTCAGGACCTAGGTAACTAAAAAGCATACATATGACAAAGAGGTTTCTAGTTCCTACCCCAGTATCTCATTGAGCCATCACACACCCTAGACTAGTCTCAATCCACTCAACTCTCAGGACCTAGGTAACTAAAAAGCATACATATGACAAAGAGGTTTCTAGTTCCTACCCTAGCATCACCTTGAGCCTTCACATACCCTAGACTAGCCTTAATCCACTCAACTCTCAGGACCTAGGTAACTAAAAAGCATACATATGACAAAGAGGTTTCTAGTTCCTACCCCAGTATCTCCTTGAGCCTTCACATACCCTAGACTAGTCTCAATCCACTCAACTCTCAGGACCTAGGTAACTAAAAAGCATACATATGACAAAGAGGTTTCTAGTTCCTACCCTAGCATCTCCTTGAGCCTTCACATACCCTAGACTAGCCTCAATCCACTCAACTCTCAGGACCTAGGTAACTAAAAAGCATACATATGACAAAGAGGTTTCTAGTTCCTACCCTAGCATCTCCTTGAGCCTTCACACACCCCAGACTAGTCTCAATCCACTCAACTCTCAGGACCTTGGTTACTAAAAAGCATACATATGACAAAGAGGTTTCTAGCTCCTACCCCAGTATCTCCTTGAGCCTTCACATACCCTAGACTAGTCTCAATCCACTCAACTCTCAGGACCTAGGTAACTAAAAAGCATACATATGACAAAGAGGTTTCTAGTTCCTACCCTAGCATCTCCTTGAGCCTTCACATACCCTAGACTAGCCTCAATCCACTCAACTCTCAGGACCTAGGTAACTAAAAAGCATACATATGACAAAGAGGTTTCTAGTTCCTACCCCAGTATCTCCTTGAGCCTTCACATACCCTAGACTAGTCTCAATCCACTCAACTCTCAGGACCTAGGTAACTAAAAAGCATACATATGACAAAGAGGTTTCTAGTTCCTACCCTAGCATCTCCTTGAGCCTTCACATACCCTAGACTAGCCTCAATCCACTCAACTCTCAGGACCTAGGTAACTAAAAAGCATACATATGACAAAGAGGTTTCTAGTTCCTACCCTAGCATCTCCTTGAGCCTTCACATACCCTAGACTAGCCTTAATCCACTCAACTCTCAGGACCTAGGTAACTAAAAAGCATACATATGACAAAGAGGTTTCTAGTTCCTACCCTAGCATCACCTTGAGCCTTCACATACCCTAGACTAGCCTTAATCCACTCAACTCTCAGGACCTAGGTAACTAAAAAGCATACATATGACAAAGAGGTTTCTAGTTCCTACCCCAGTATCTCCTTGAGCCTTCACATACCCTAGACTAGTCTCAATCCACTCAACTCTCAGGACCTAGGTAACTAAAAAGCATACATATGACAAAGAGGTTTCTAGTTCCTACCCTAGCATCTCCTTGAGCCTTCACATACCCTAGACTAGCCTCAATCCACTCAACTCTCAGGACCTAGGTAACTAAAAAGCATACATATGACAAAGAGGTTTCTAGTTCCTACCCTAGCATCTCCTTGAGCCTTCACACACCCCAGACTAGTCTCAATCCACTCAACTCTCAGGACCTTGGTTACTAAAAAGCATACATATGACAAAGAGGTTTCTAGCTCCTACCCCAGTATCTCCTTGAGCCTTCACATACCCTAGACTAGTCTCAATCCACTCAACTCTCAGGACCTAGGTAACTAAAAAGCATACATATGACAAAGAGGTTTCTAGTTCCTACCCTAGCATCTCCTTGAGCCTTCACATACCCTAGACTAGCCTCAATCCACTCAACTCTCAGGACCTAGGTAACTAAAAAGCATACATATGACAAAGAGGTTTCTAGTTCCTACCCCAGTATCTCCTTGAGCCTTCACATACCCTAGACTAGCCTCAATCCACTCAACTCTCAGGACCTAGGTAACTAAAAAGCATACATATGACAAAGAGGTTTCTAGTTCCTACCCTAGCATCTCCTTGAGCCTTCACATACCCTAGACTAGCCTCAATCCACTCAACTCTCAGGACCTAGGTAACTAAAAAGCATACATATGACAAAGAGGTTTCTAGTTCCTACCCCAGTATCTCCTTGAGCCTTCACATACCCTAGACTAGCCTCAATCCACTCAACTCTCAGGACCTAGGTAACTAAAAAGCATACATATGACAAAGAGGTTTCTAGTTCCTACCCCAGTATCTCCTTGAGCCTTCACATACCCTAGACTAGTCTCAATCCACTCAACTCTCAGGACCTAGGTAACTAAAAAGCATACATATGACAAAGAGGTTTCTAGTTCCTACCCTAGCATCTCCTTGAGCCTTCACATACCCTAGACTAGCCTCAATCCACTCAACTCTCAGGACCTAGGTAACTAAAAAGCATACATATGACAAAGAGGTTTCTAGTTCCTACCCTAGCATCTCCTTGAGCCTTCACATACCCTAGACTAGCCTCAATCCACTCAACTCTCAGGACCTAGGTAACTAAAAAGCATACATATGACAAAGAGGTTTCTAGTTCCTACCCTAGCATCTCCTTGAGCCTTCACATACCCTAGACTAGCCTCAATCCACTCAACTCTCAGGACCTTGGTAACTAAAAAGCATACATATGCCAAAGAGGTTTCTAGTTCCTACCCCAGCATCTCCTTGAGCCTTCACACACCCCAGACTAGTCTCAATCCACTCAACTCTCAGGACCTTGGTTACTATGCTCGACGTGTCAAATTTGTTATTTCTTGTTTGCAAATTTTTTATTTTATACTATACTATTAGCACTTCATTGAAAAAAAAACACCTTTTTCATAGTAGCTAACCTTAGTACTCCTTAAATTTAATTTAGGGATGGACAAGATTGGATTTTTAGTTTGAGACTAGACAAAATTTTTATTTCTTATAAAATTCCAAAACGAGATCGAGACAGGATTTCCTTTCTCATACACAACGGGAAATGCACGTTCAACATTTTTACCTGATTTTGTAACATTGTTAGATGACTGTTTAAATACAAAAATGCAAACTTATGTTACATAACAATAATAGGAAAGAATATTTAAAATCTTTTATTAAAAAAAAACAGCTTAAAAAATGTATATTTATTACGCCTTACTTATTAAAATTGCTTACGATTAGGAAACATGGTGATATCAGTTAGAGTTAAACTTATCCTACAAAAAAAAATAATTCATAAAATAAAAGCAATATTAATTTGTATAAAATAGCTACTTGTTTTGCCTTTGTTTATAGTAGTGAAACATGCCTCACACTGCTTACACTCAACAAAACTTCTCAAATGATAAAATAATTAAAGTAATATTTACATGTAAAGAATTAATTTAATAAGAACGCCTTCACAAAGGAAACGCAACTACAACGCGCTCCTGTATTGCGGGTATTGCATTGACTTTCTGCAGGCGCAGACGTTTTTTATTTTTATTCTCGTCCTGAAAAAAGTTTGATGAAAAAGAAATCTTGTCTCTTATAACAAGATTTAAAATTTCCCAAAGTTTTGAGACTTGACCGTCCCTCTTGACCATCCATAATTTAATTTAATTTAGATAGAGAATACAAACCTGTACCTAACTGTTTTTAACACCTGTTTAAGGAAATATTTTAGTAAGAGTCCAATCATAAAATATAAATTTGCTTTGTCTGCAGGGATATTTGAGTTTTGGTTTCGATTTTGTAACTTGAAATTTCTGGTTTAGAGCATAACTAAATGGTTGATTTTATCGCTGGTGATGTGTGCAGGTCAAGTGTCAACAACGAGTGTGTTCTCGACGGCCAGCAGCGGATACTCGTACTCGGGCAGTGTGGACAGTTCCTATCACAAATACTCACCTCACAAGTCACTAGATGATCAACTCAAAGAGCTTGACTCTCAACTGCTCAGCAAGGTAACTTTAGTGACCAATACCTTTGAGAATCCTCCATCTGGTAAGTGATGTAAACACAGGGACAATATCTCATTGGTACAAATTTTGTTTTACTGTAATCATCAAGGTTAAACGGAAGAGAACTATTAATGAATTAAACAATTAAATAATAATAATAAAGTTGATTTTTCATAGCCAGTGTAATATGTGAAACTAGTTCTGATGTGAATTAATGACCACTAGCAAAAACTCGTATTGCTGTTGACCGAAATGCTATCAACAAAAAGTTAACAAAAGTTGCTCGCCTAATACAAATCGCTCCTCCTTCAAATGCACATTTCAGTAAAATTTCTGAAATGTTCTATTTAAAAACTAGTGCCCCTGTTGCTCATGACCGAGCAATCGCAAAGTATTACAGGCGTTATTTCAAAACGAATAACAGTCATAATTTCCGATGACTTAAAAAAGTCAACTCAAAGATAAATAATGTATCAAATCACTCCACTCCAGTTATCGATACTGAAAACGAACGCTCTTGTGTGTATCATGTGAACAGCTATGAACAGCTGTTTTAGTATGCAATTGATACAAATTATTCGTCTGTTTAAGTAAACAAAATCTTTTCTTCATAAGAAATACATTGTCATTTTAATGGCCTGTGGGGCAAAGCACCAGGACTTTTATTACAGAAATTAGCGAAAGTCTACACAAAAAATAATTAATTTTGACACACCGTTTGTAAAAATCCGTCCATTATTAATGGAAGAGCAGTGTTTTGTAGAATTCACGTATTTATATATCAGGATAATTATTGAAATAAGTTATACTAAACTTGTACAGTATTACTTTTGATTGTTACCAACTAGGATAAACCAAGTGAACAGTTTAGTCAGTAAACATTGCAGTGTTGAAGTTGTTTTTAGCTATGTGAGGTGGCAACGTTGACCTTCACAGGTAACAGATTGGTGTTAAACGTTTGTGACAATTTGCAGTGTCTTTATTTGACATAGAATCTTGACATTTGATTGTGTGGCTTCTGATCCCATTGTGTTATTAGCTTTCCTCCAAAATGTAAAATTTAGCTAATGTAAACCAGTTTTATTGTTTAGGTTTTGGTACATAAGTACATTGATTTATTTTCTGTTGGTAGAGAACGTTTTGTAAGAATTAAAATTGTGTTGGTTGGTATAAAGGTTTTTTTTTATTGAAAGTTAATCAGTTATTAGCATTTTTTAAACTTTGTGTACAAATGTGAATAGCATAATTTGATATTCAATTTAGTGATGTGAGGTTTATATATTCAAAAAATTTATTTGCTTGGTTTTTTTAAATCTCCTGATTACTATATTCTTAGCAATATAGAAGTGCCCCTGAATGTTAGGTAGGCTCACACACACAAAAACAAAGGCAAGGGATTAGGACATACCTCGTCCTTTCTTTATCAAACGTACATGTTATAACTTTGACATTAATAATGAAATGTATAATTAAATTTACAAGTTCAACAAGGCCAATATATAAAAATTTTATTTTATTCACTAGCGCTTTCAGAAACTAGGTTTCCATCTTCAGGCACTTTTGTACACTGGTACAAAAAGTAAATATTTACTTAATAATAAATTAATTTTAAACAAAGTTAAAACAGATGTTGTAAAGGACATTGGAAAAATATATAAAAATTAATATTAGAAAAATAATCTTGAATTTTGGATATATTACAGTGTTGTTCTTGATGTAATTATTTATTTTTTTAAATTGGAAAATCATTATGTGTTGGGTCAAAAACCAACCGGATTGAACCAATTAAAGTTAATAACTTTAGTGTTTTATTAATTAACAAAAACTAATAATGTTTTGCACTAATTAGGTTTTGGAAAAAAGTTGATTATGGTAATAAAAACAAATTCATTAACAAACATTGAAGTAAGCTCACATTCTATGGTGTTATATTTCATTGATGGTCAGGTTATTTAGGGTTATAAACACTTTCAAAAGTGGTTTAATCCTTAACGGGGTGCAAAGTTTTGTTTTTCTAGTTAGTTTTTTGTAAGTACCCTCTTCTTAAGCAGTTCACGCTTACTTAATAGTAGCCTACTAATTCCCCGTTGTTCCTATAATCCCGCTTTTGTATTTCACTCACTCCGCATGAGCCGGCGTGTTTAACACGTGTGACTAATCCTTTCTCTCCGCTCCGCAGATTCCTGATTCCTCGCGTTTGTTTTCCTTGGTTTCAGAGAGGTCTTTGCTGTTTTCCAGGATTCTCTCATCCAGGCACTTCGTCGAGAAAAGGAAAAATACCCCAGCCACTATTGGCGAGTGTAGGAGGCTTTGAGGCCGGTGGGTTCCTACAGGGGCTGGTCAGCAGTTCGGGACAGGCCGGCAACGAGATGGTGTTGTTGGAGAAGCAAGGGCTGTGTTCCCAGCAGCAGCGTGGGCAGGGAGAGAGGTGTGGCAGTCTGCCTCCTAGCTCTCTACCACGACCTAAGCGTCACCACAAGGCAGCTAACACTAAGGAGCGACGGCTTGGCGAGTATGGCAGACTGAGTGACGGAGAGGGCTCCAGCAGCCGCAAAGCATCAGCCAACTCTAGTACGGACGCTGCAGACAAGACCAGGAGTTCTCCATCACGACCTGTGATACCGCTACCTACCCGCAAGTTGGGCGAGTATGGGCGGCTGAGTGACGGTGACCGCAAGACCTCTGCAAGCAACTCCAATGAAGACGTTACAACCGACAAGCCTAGAGAATCTCCGATGAGGAATATCCCCCTACCTCCGAGGAAACTCGGAGAATACGGACGTCTGAGCTCTGACTCCGGTAGAAAAACCCCAACAGACCTCGCATCCAGTGGAACTCCGGATAATTTGAGCCTCAATCCCAGAAGCTCCCCGGTGAGGAAATTCTCTGAATACAGTAGGTACGAGGTTACTAGCAAACCAGCTGAAAATAAGTCTATCTTGGAGTTTAACGGAAGGAAACTGTCATCGGAGAAGACTAGGGAATCTCCGTCAAGAAGTTTGATACCTACACCACGAAAGCTGTCGGATTTTGGATGTTTTGAGTCTCCTCCTCCTTCCCCACAGAGTAAGGAGTCCAAGTTACGTCTGATTGGTCCTGGAACTCTACGGACAAGAAGGGGCTCGCTCAGCCAGCCCCCCTCTCCTAAAGCTCCCTCCGAACCTGGTGTTAGATCTCTCCCAACCCCCAACAAATACAGGATCCAGTTCTAAACTGATATTATGTACCTACCTTAGTTATTTTCCATTAGATGTTTGAAAACATAGTGCTCTTCTTTGATGCCTTACTTTGATACCAGATTATAGCACAAATGTGAATTGCTACAATCAAAACCAAGATTGTTGCTTTTTAGTGGCCTTCTACAATAACCTAAGATTAAATACAGCCCTTAATTTTTTTTTAATACCTACCCCTTTGTAAACAAAGATATTAAAGATCTTACCAAGCCTTACTGTATGACTTGATAACAGTAAATATATTGTTTAATCTAGTAGTAGAACATTTTAACAAAGCATACTAATAATATATTTCTTTATTTTTAAGTCTGTGCCTCTAGGTAATCCTTGTTATATTTGTTAGTATTATAAACTATTAATTATTGTTACCAATTTACCTAGTTGTGTCATATTTTGTTTTTAGAAATTAGTATCTATAGTATAGTTTGTCTCTCTTTTAAATATTTCTTAGCCATCTGCTCTCATTTTAGTTAACATAATTATTTTTATGATTATGCATCTTAAATACATATGCATACATTAGGTCATTTTATATATGTACTACTGAAATGTATTACATTTGAAAATGTACCTGATTTGCTACAGAAATATACTTTGCTAACTACAGAAGTGTAGCCAAGCTAAGTAATTCAATGTAGCTCTAAATTTATAGAAAATGAACTGTACTTTAAACTATTGTAGCGAGGTTGAGATTTTGGACACCTAATGATTTAGAAATAATATTTGCGATAAACGATTTGTTTATAGATATAAGCTTAAACAAATACCGGATGGCGGGAAACAAAAATCTACTTTTTTTGACGATTTATGGAATAGAAGTTTGAGAGGGAGTATGTTAAATCCATGGTACAGTCTAGGAGTTTAAAAATGATATATTCTTATACACAAGATTTCATACAAAATATCAAGAGCAAATCCGTGACTAAGGAAACCATCAAAGACAGAGTAAATATCTCCGGTTTGTCTGTGCTACCATAGAAAAGAAAACTTTTTAATAATCTAGCTTAATTTTTTTAGTATAGAGATAGAGGCAACCAATTTGATTCTTGCAAAATTAATAACTGGGACTTAAAGGTTGAAAATGATACTATGGTTTTAATGTGTGCTGAGATGTGTTTTGAAGTAAAGGTTTGGTAGAGAAGTTTATTTCACAGTTAAATTTTTTTATGAAACTAATATTACTGTACCTAAAACTAATATGTAGGTAGTCATTTTTACTAATCAGTATAACCCTTTTTACTAATTATCAAAGTTTTTATGTCAAGGTTTCTTAAAGTGTTGAAAACTTAAGTAGAAAATTTAAAACAATTAATTAAAGTGTGCCGTATGGTAAAAAATTTGGGTTTAAAACCTTAGCTTTAATTAATGAAATCATCAATTTGTTACATTAATCAAGGAATAAATAAATTTTGTTTCTGCAAAATTACTGTCAGATTTGTTAGGTATTGTAGTCTTATATTTAATATATATCACAGCTGGTATCAATTTATTTTATTCTACCTTGTTTTTGTAATATGGTGCTTCAATAAATGTTAACATCTCAGATCAAACCTCCTCTGTGATAAAGCTCATTCAAGAGCTGTCATGCCCGCCAATGTATATTGTACTATTTTTTTTTACACACTCGTTATGTAAATCCTAACATATATTTGTAATCTTTGTGTGATATGTATTAAATTTATTTATTTTAGACATAACAATTGTAACATTTATGATTCACTGATAAAGCCAAATCCAAAGAATAAAACTCATGTTGTTGTTACTCTTGTTGATTTATTATTTGCCTCTCTATTTGTCTAAATATATATTATGTTGCTGACTTTTTTTTCATTAGGAATGGTCACAAAAACAGGGGGTGTCATAAAGGATACAACTTCTATAGGGTTCTTATAAGGTTTACCCACAGAGCATAGAATTAAATATAGAGTCACCACTCCTATACCTACAGCTATACCAGTAGTGAAGCCGATTTCCGCCATCTTGGTAAGAGAGTCAGGCTTGGAACTTTGAAAACACGGTGTCATTACCACTGTCTTATTCTATGCTTCTTTATGAATTAGATTAAGCTACCGCTCCGAGGATACATATAGAACTATCCCCCCTTCGATATTGACCTAGGACTCTGCCCCGCGGGCTTTCAAAGTTCTGAGGTGAGAGTTTTAAAAGTAAATATTGATTGGTGGTTTCCATGGTAACAATATAATGGTTTAAATGTAAATGCAGATGGGGCCGGCCACCATCTTGGTACGAGAAGCCTGCTTCACTCCAGACGGCAAGTGCCGCATCTATATTTATTCTATGCTCTGTGGGTTTACCACCTACGTTTACCTGTGGGTTTACCTTCTTTCTGTTGGAATAAAGATATAATTCATTTATTCTTGCTAGATGCTTTAATGCCTATACAAAATGCTTACAAGGTTTAATTTTATGCCACGAAAACCCCATGAAAAACTATTCCAAACAAACATTATATTCAATCGATTGATGGAATCTAAAATTGAGAGGGAGTATGTTTTATCCATGGCACAGTCCAGGTGTTTAAATGATATATTCTTACTCGAGAATTAATACGAAATATCAAGAGCATATATGTGACCAAAGAGACCATCAAAGACAAAAGAGTAAATATCTCTGGTTTGTCTGTGCTACCAAAACCATAGAAGATGTATCTAAGAAGACTTTTTAAAGCTTTGTTTTTAACTTTCAAGTTATAGATAAAATATTATCATTTTACGCAAATGGAACTTGCATATTTAAAACAACTCCATTTGGAAGGTAGGTAATAAAATAGATGTTTTACAAAGAATACTGAATATTTATTGCACATGATTTTATGAGTTACAACACAACACAATATACAACTTTACATATTAAGTCTTACAAGACATTATTTTGCTTTTTACGGTACTTAATACCACCTAATTGGGCACATGTATAAGCCTTTGTGTATTGGGGCCTTTGTGTGTGTGTAAAGGCCCCTCTTAATTATGTGGTTCACCTAAAAGTAGTTACATCAGATTGGATTAGCTTCAAGTAGAACAAATCCTTCAACGTATAATCTAAAAATGCTAATTAACATGTTTAACTGACAAATACCAATTTGATCTACTTTAAGTTATCAAGATTCTTAAAAAGCATTTACTTCCATTGTAAACTATTTGCTTTGATCACGTATTGTATTGTAAATAAAAATTATGTTATATCCTAAAAATGTTGGCAATTATTTCGTAAAATGGCAAAATTTAACATCTTAAAACCTACAAAGTAGTGTTCCCATACTCTTAACAGGGGTCAGATGTGTATGGATGTGTTAAACTTTCAAAAGTTCACTTATCAAGCAAATATGTAATTAAAGTGAAAAACTATCAAATTCTGAGGAATATAGGCCTACCATACATATGTGATAAATTGATAATGTTAACAAAATAAATAAATGGGTTAATTAATAGAAAGAAAAGCCTTTTGGTTACTATTCAAATCCTGAGTGACAGAAAGGAAGATGGATTTGATCGTGAATTGTTATATTTTATGTTAAAAATGTACTATAATATTCTCAATCCAGTAGACTTCCTTTGCTGTTATGTTTAGTTTGTCACAACGTATTTGTCTAATACTGTTCAACAATACTAACATGATATTTCTCTTTATTTTCAGTTTAATAATAGTTTGTAGTCTAAAACATATTTAGAATTTTTTATTAAATTCTGATATTTCTAACAAGGGTCATATTTCTAGGTTTTCAGACTAGAGGTAGGGGAAGTCTACTGAAATTACATTCAATGAATTCTACAGTACTCAAAACTTTTCACAGCACACATTATATTTGTATTTACACTCTACTAGCAAATAAAATATTTATTAGAATTCTGGGTACGGAAGTCACTTTATTTCTGTATACCACCAATATACAACAAGTAAAGTGATTCTTGGGCGCTGTTTTATTTTAGCATTTCAGGAGTGCTAAATTAAATGTTCAATAACTGGATTGGCTTGATAACGTCAGTAAAATGTTAAATGAGTACATCAAATTTTATTTAGATTTGTTTCTTGAAGAAATTACATTTAATATCGACTGCAGATTCTTAGGCATAATCTGGGAATTCTCTTTCAACTCGTATCTTTTCCATATCAACATTATTTTGCAAAGTATAAACAAATTTGCCAATTAAGATTGCATAAAAGATTTATATTTCATTGAAAATCCATGTAAATGCTTGAATTATTTAAAATCTAACCAAGCATTTTTATTGATCTGCGTTTTGAAATTCAAATATTTAATTTAAATTGCTACTCTCAATTTTTACAATTCTATCTTCTAACAATTGGTTTATATACCTAAACATTAAGTTTATGAGTTTGTTGACTCGTACCTTAGAAAATCATTTTCTCAACAGAAAATGCATCCTAAACGCTAGAAGCCCATTTAGAAACCATATTTACAAATATACAAACTATTTCAAGAAAGTCACAAAATGTTTGAGTGAGCAATACAAACATCATCTTTATAAGCCTGATGATGACCCTACAAAGGCAAAGGAAGTATGTACAATAGCGCTATCTACTGATACCTATCCTAACGTATGACTAACGAGTTTGATTACATAAATATAACGCGAGGGCACGAGTGTTTGGTGTATTTAGGAAGCATTGAGCATTTTTCATCAGGTATTTGTCCCTACTCCAGCAGGTTTAATGTGCTGTTGGTTTTCCTCAGCTGAGCTCTCCACGGCATGATTTGGATAGGTTCCTCATCCGTTATTGAAACAGCCTCCTTATGCACTGCAACAGGATTGTTGTTCTCCTTGTTCTCTTTTACTGATGTGTTCTCAATTATTTGGACTGTCTTTGGTTCAATAATTTGTGTTTTCTTTTCCTCTATGGTCGATGTTGGATAAATTGTTCCGTTTGACCTGAAATAAAGGTTTTTTTTCATTTATCTATTCAATAAGATTGATTGAATTTGCTAACTAGGATTAGCAACAAACTAAAACTAACCATTTTCCATTAAATCTAACATTTTTGAGAATGTATATGACAGACCATTAAAAAAATAATTTGTTATTACCATTATTGGATTTTGTAGATTCTGCATGTTATGTGTTAACTTAAAGCTGACACTAAACTTTTCTAAATTTGTTATTATTATCGAGTAGGAGTTCTTTAGTACAAAGAAGTTTTCTTTGTCCGAGAGACCACTGAGAGACCAACCATTTGATTAATAGATAGATTATAAATTCACCTTGTACACCATAAAGATTTGCATAATCACATAGGAATAAGCTATGTGTCAAGATTTGAACCCGTATTACTCATGGTTTTTAACATTTTTTTAAATGAAATTTATGTGAGAGTTTGATAAAATTTCTATAACTGAATTCTATGCAATTTATTATTTCCATTTTAAGACACGGCACTTTGAATATTTCTGTAATATATAATTGAAACCTATGAACACATAGAGAGAATTATTTTATTAGTTGCACTAAGATGGCTTTTGCACTTGGCCTAGGGCTTAGAAGATTATGACAACTGTCCATGGTGCTGTGGCACGAAGATTACCTCTCTCAATTACAAAGGACGACAATAAGATCAATGTTTCAACAAAACCCAAAATGTAAAAGTAGACTAACTTCTCGTCAGGTTTCTTGGCTTGAAGCAGCTGTCTCTTCCACGCAGGGATGGACTGCAGCCTCTTTTCTTCCGCTTGCCTTGCCAGTTCCTCTTCCATCTCTTTCCGCGCCTTCTCTGCCGCTTTCTTGGCCAACATTTGCCGCTTCCATGGAGGGATTGGGTTACCTGTAGCATCCTTCTCGGGTATCTGAGAATTTAAACAAATTTTACTAATATTTTTGTGACCTTGTCTTTTGTAATTTATGTATTACCAAATGACAATAAAGATATTATTATTATTACTAGAGGTCGTCCCGTGGTCAAGAATGTACTAACAGACTTCTCTATTTTCACCCCACACTGTAGGAAATTAAACATGTGACCGAAATTTCTTCAATTTGTTTTGATTTTCTGTTGTTATTTTTTATATTGTGTCGTTATTTTGTCACCATCATGGCAACCCATTAGACCCATGTTAATTTTTAGATATTTTAAATTCATTTTTTGTACTTATTTTTGAGGCTATTTTAATTTATACAGTAGACCCTCTCTTAACCGACCTCGTATTAACCGATAATCGGATTATCCGCCTTCCATCGTAAAATATCACAGTTTGTTTTAACCGACCTTGCTTTGAGAGCAGTTTGGCTTAACCGCCGCTTTCTTGGAATCTCGGCATTTCCGCTCCCATGCTGGGCGATGAGAACCGAACCAAAGGCTTATCTCCACAGGATGTGACTAAGAATAAATTATTTTGCATTGATCGCAAAAAATATAGCATATTGTCAGTTTGTCATTATCGTTTATAGTGCGAGCACATCCTGATCTGATTTGTTATCTGTGCGGCAAATTTATAAAATCGTAAAGTGCGTTACGATTTTGAGAACTGATTATCTTATCGCTAGAGTAAACAAACAATGCAACTTGTAGGAAGGGCAGGGAAGGGGGGTTAGAACTAAAGTTATTAAAATGGGATTTTTTATTAACTCTTGCCTAGTACTATAATCTATTCCACTTAAAGTAGGCCTATTTGACTTAACGGTGTTTAGTGTTTATTTATGACTTTTCTATCAATAGGAAAAAAGGAGATAAGAGTAGTTTATTTTATAAATAATAGAAGTATGACTTCAAAATAATGATTATATAATTCAAAATTAATAACACTTAATTATGTTATGATTTTAGGGATTGCCCGTTTTAACTGACCTTTTGAGTTATCCGACCTAGGTCTGGTCCCATTAGGGTCGGTTAAGAGGGGGTCTACTGTAAAGGGATTCTGCACATCTACAGGAAAATATATTTTTAACAGTATTCGTAGATTTTCCCTGCGATGAACACAAGCTGAGATAAAAGGTTTTAAAGAAACATGCTTGCCTATTAATATATAGATTACTGTGTATTAGCACTTGAACTTTAAGGCCTACCATAAACGTTCTGTCTCGGCCTCAAGGCTTGGTCTTAAGGCCAGCCATTAGCCAGGTCATCAATAGCTCAAATGAATGCGCTTTCATAACTGAATATTTTATATTTTAAGGCTAGAACGAACTGCAACCATCAATATAAACTGGAGATATAAGAAAAAAATCCTAAAACATGTTCAAAATACGAAAGGTTCATAAGAAATGTATGGGGAGAGTGAGAGTATTCATAAAAATGGGTTTCAGCATTGAAATCAGCGTGAAAATCTAGTCTTTAATAATGTGTCATAACAATATCATTTCATTTAAAAATATTTATTTATATCCAGTTTGGCAGATCCAAGATGGCGGCCAAAAACGTGTTCCCCATCAAAATTAAGTACTAAACACCCAATAAATATCGGCGGTGTTCTCAAGTCAGTTTCTCGAAAAATGTGCATAAAAAATGCATGTGGTAAACTTTAATTTAAATGTATCCAATGTTGGGAAAAGCCACCATTTTAATAATGATTTTAGGGGTTTTCCGTGCACCGATTTTGGCCAACTTTTAGTATGACCCTCTGCACAGCCAAGACTACAAATTACAGCCATAAAACGTTTTCTTTAATTTTTTTAACGATCCCTGTGTCTGTTTTTTTTAGTTTGCTTGTACAATTTAAAGTTTTTTCCACTTTTTTAATTTTCTCATATTTGCCGAAATAAATTTTGTTGGACAACCTTAGATTCGTGTTCAGCATCCCCAAAAGTTTACAGTGCAAGGAAGTCCACTTTGTAAGATGACTGGAGGAAAAAAATATTCTAATATTAATTTACTAGCCAAACTTCAGCCGAACTACAGTGTTTCAGCCGAACTACAGTGTTTTCAAGAGTTTGAAAGAACTTTTTATGAATTGACAAATTAGAGTTATAAATAATGGTTGCATTTTTGGTTGCATGTCCGACGATCAGCCTCAAGGAATCTCCACAAACTCTCAGTTCTTCCTTCAATCCAGGACTGTACAGTCCAAACCTCGAGGCTGGACTGAACGTGTTTGGTAGGCCTAATTTTCCGAGAGAAGTTGCACTCTAACCCTTTCAAAATTCCATAATCTATAGTAATGCATTTACTGTATCTATATACAAAGCCCAAAGTACCCATGAACTTTTGAGAAAACTACAAGTCACACCCCCATAAACCATATACTTAAAATGTTCGTCATGACGAGAACCCTTGCGCAAAACTATCCATTATTTTATAAATTTTCCTTTAAAGCTGTAATTCCTTTCTAAAGGGAACTTACCATATACCTAATGTTAAAAATACCTCAGCTGTACATATACTGTTAGTATTACTGTATTCTGTTTTGTTTATTTCAGCTTAACTTAACCAATCAATAATTTATTAATACTTATGAAGTCAAACGGGGTGAAGCCCGTGGGTAACAGCTAGTGTAAATAATAGGCTTTGTATTCACAATAGTGTGAATGTAAAATAATTTGTACTTTCATAAGATAAATCTTAATCTTAATACTTTTTACTATTTAAATTAAAATCATCATTTGGATTTATGTGGAGGGATATATCTGGAATAGAGACAGTGTGTTTCCATTCCTAAGAGTAAGATACCTACATTTGTGTTCTACGCTACCGCCTCAGGGCAATACAGCAAATGCAATTAGTGATCTGTGGGATTTTAACCTGACCCTTCAAAACAAAAATTCAGAGTTCAAACGACTAGAGCAGCTTTGCCCCTTTATTTCAAATCACGCTACCCTTGAGCCTATCACTTCAGAAAAGTAAAATGTAAGTTAAATGTATGTTAATTAATATAATACCTTTTCTACAAAACTGTCCACAGATAGTTGTTTATGAATTTCTGTAACTAATTCTTTTTCATGTTGTTCTTCCTGTTTCACTTTTTCAACTTTCATCTTTTTAATGCCTGTTATGTCCTTTGATTTCTTCAGTTCTTCTATTAAATCTTGTTTTTGGACTTGGAACGGGCTTTCAACTGTTCCTGAAACAGAGAGATCACTCCAAAACAGAAACTTATAATATAATATGTAATATTTGATGAATAAATCAACCATCGGATAAAGATGAATGAAGTGCCTTGGGGCCTCAACCCTCAACCTGCCCCTTCCGGATATACTGATTGACTTTAACAGTGGCTTTATACCTTTTCCTGTCAGAGTGATCCTTGGAGTCTGTTTAGGCTATTGGTTTCAACTCACAGATTCTTAACAGATTACGAGAATCACTCCAGCAGTAAAAGGTATTTAAACCACTATTACTTTTACTGTAAGTGATTTGGAGACTAAAACATACTGTTTGGAATAATTAAAAAGGAGTGTACAGTATAAGATTAATTTAAACTCATTAAGTTTGCATTTAACATTAGGTTGTGATCTATATTTTACTTGAATATTGAATACATTAGCCTGTCACACACAATACTTGAATACACTATACTGTCTACACACACTTGAATACACTAGCCTGTCACACACAATACTTGAATACACTAGCCTGTCACACACAATACTTGAATACACTAGCCTGTCACACACACAATACTTGAATACACTAGCCTGTCACACACAATACTTGAATACACTAGCCTTTCACACACACAATACTTGAATACACTAGCCTGTCACACACAATACTTGAATACACTAGCCTGTCACACACACAATACTTGAATACACTAGCCTGTCACACACAATACTTGAATACACTAGCCTTTCACACACACAATACTTGAATACACTAGCCTGTCACACACAATACTTGAATACACTAGCCTGTCACACACAATACTTGAATACACTAGCCTGTCTACATTTGAGCCCTCATTACTGACTTTGGTTTAGCCAACTTTTAAAACATTCCATACTGACCATCCCACTGTGATCCTAATTGACTTTGGACAAGGCAAGTTTGTTTTACAAAAATGTTTCTGGTACAGTAGAGTACCGCAAACTTTGCACTCGATAACCCGGCAGTCTGGATAACTCGGCCATCACCTGGCTCAGAAAATTTGTGATTTTTTGAGTCAGAGTTTAACATGGACTCAAGCCAGCTCAAATCAAATCATTCACAGCTCCTACAAAGTATTTGTTGTACTATATCTGATAACCTAATATTAACTTGTAATATAAATATAAATAAAAGAGATAGTTAATAAGCTTAAAAAATGTATTGTTCTTATTTTTAACCCTAGTTCCCAATAACCCGGCATTCCACAAACTCGACACCCTTCCAGTCCACATTACGCCGAGTTTGCGGGACTCTACTGTATTTGACAACACATATGTTTTAACTCTAATTTTGACTTGTTTAAAAATATTTTGAAGATCTAATTATTAAGGTTTTGGTTTCACATCAATGAAATGTGTAAACCATTGCACTTCACGCGAATATGCAATATTATCATGGCTTGATTTGAGGGACAACACGCTTAACTAACAGCATTCTAGGACTCTCACTCCTAAGGAAATATTTTTTAAGTTTCAAAGTATTTAAAGAAAGATTTACAAACAAATTCTCACGCTTTATATTGTTTTGCTAGGGGATTCACAATTAGCGGGTTGGCAAAGATTAGCTAACGTTGTAAATTTTATTTCCAGCCCCTCAAATTCTATGCACAATAACCTGTAGTCAACAAGCTGGATCTAGAGTTTGCTCTTACCCTTCAATCTATCACACCAAATTATCCAGTTGGCATAGAGCTTGGTTATGGTTGCAAATTTTGGATGGTTTGGATGGTTTCACATCAATGAAATGTGTAAACCATTGCACTTCACGCGAATATGCAATATTATCATGGCTTGATTTGAGGGACAACACGCTTAACTAACAGCATTCTAGGACTCTCACTCCTAAGGAAATATTTTTTAAGTTTCAAAGTATTTAAAGAAAGATTTACAAACAAATTCTCACGCTTTATATTGTTTTGCTAGGGGATTCACAATTAGCGGGTTGGCAAAGATTAGCTAACGTTGTAAATTTTATTTCCAGCCCCTCAAATTCTATGCACAATAACCTGTAGTCAACAAGCTGGATCTAGAGTTTGCTCTTACCCTTCAATCTATCACACCAAATTATCCAGTTGGCATAGAGCTTGGTTATGGTTGCAAATTTTGGATGGTTTAGTATACAAATGAAATACCTGTGAGTGATGTAAGAGGTGCAGACATAGTCTTGGAAAGCGTCTTGTTTGTGCGTCGCAGCTGAACACTGTTGATGTCTTGGATGCTGATTGTCCCCAGGGGCTGGTCCGCCTTCCTTGTGGAGTTGGGTGCGGGGACTGGGGCAACCGGGGGCAGTGGCGGTGGCGGCGGTGCAGCCGTCACACTCACTCCTACCACAGCACCCGTCTTGTCTTCTGTCTGCGACTAGAATGTTACAAGTTGTTACAGTGTCTTGTAAAAAAATAGTCTCGGAAAAACAATAAAGCACTCAAAAGAAGAAACATATAGAGAAAAAATTTAGAATTGAAAAGCAAGTAAAACTAAATTGGCCATAACTATTTTCAATTACAAATCTAATGAGCAATAATTAAAAGCCAGAGCAGAAAATAAACTAGCAGTGCACAATTGACATGTACAATGAACTATGGAGCTCCAAATAATCAATTTCTCTATTAACATTGATTAATAACTTGTAAACTGGTTTTGTTTTTAAACATTACCATGAATTCATAATTGATAACAGCACTCTCTTTGTCAGCTTAATTCAACTGCACTTATTTTCAGTGTAAAACTCTCTAAAACTTTAACCCTTCCGATATACTTCCGATGTATCGACAGTTTAAATAAACAAAGTATCTAAAAATTTTTTTTATAAAAAAATTTAAAAAATCAAGAATAGCATGCAAGAAATGTTTAAGATGGCTGATATTCAAAAGTTATATAATTTTTCTATAACATTGAAGAAACTGTTAAAAGTGCCCTGGTCCTGAGCAGTGCTTCATATACTATAGGGGAGGGTCGGTCTCTAAAGGGTTAATGTGGGTGTCCACTAAAGCTTGGTGGTACAGCTGGGTTTTGTCTCTGTAATCAAAGGTGTCTACTGTGTATGAGTGTCGAGAGTGTGATTTATAAATGTTTAATGCTGGTCACAGTTTGTTGGCCACAGTTTGTAGAGCATGGACTGGTCTGACCTTGGATAAACACTTTCACTCCCTCAGTAATTTGTTTTACTGTCACTGGTTTAAACACATAATTGGGGAATCAACATTTTTTCTCAAGTTGATTTTAGTCTCAGATAAGTTAGCAATGTGAAAAAAATTCATTTTTTATTGAGGTTAGGAATATTTCACGATTAGGTATAATGTTTAGATAATAAGTTTAAATTCGTAGAAATAGTTAAGCGGGAAAAGAATTTTAAGTTAAACTAGTATCTTTGGTGAGTCTTTATTAATGAAATAACATTGGTACCTGTATAAAGAGTAAAATTAAAATGATAAAAGATCTAATTAGAAGTTTGGACTCGCACAAGTTATCAAAGGTAAAGTTATAAATTTTGTTTATTATCAATAAATATAAGTTCACCGCTCTTAAAATATTGTACCCTTAAAACTTGGACCAGTATAAAATTTGATCTACAGGGTGTTTTTTTTAGTGTGCCACCATTGGGATCTCAGTAACTAATGATTTTACAGCAAACTTTAAATGGGAAACATTCCCTTGTTTTTAAAGAGGTTCAAAAATAATTAAATGAAATTTTTGTAAATGGGTGCCATTTTCCAATATGGCGGTCAACTTATGGAACACCCTATATTTGTTTTCGGATAGAACATGCAATTTAAAAACTTTTTTATTCTTGACATTTTTTCGATAAACCCACTCGTTTAGGAGTTACAGCCTATGGAAAAATTACTTCCGGTGTACATTTTACATAATGTAGCTCCTAAACAAGTAGGTTTATAGCGAAAATGTGAAGAGTAAATAATTCAAATAAGTCTTAAAATTGCATCCACATTCCATAAAGACCATAAAATACACAGTTTTCCACTTTTCAAGTTTGCCACCATTTTGGAAAATGGCCGCCATTTTTGAAATAATAGAATTAATATTTTTAACGAATTTTATGATATAAAATAGTTAATTAAAATAGTCAATTTTCACCCCGCGCTGTAAATAAAACATGTGATTGGAATTTCTTCCATTTGTTTTGATTTTCTGTTTTGTCACCCGGTTTTGTCAGTTATTGGTAACCCATAAGACTCATGTATTTTTTTTTATTCCAAATTAATTTGTTGAGCTTATTTTTTAGTCTATTTTAATTAATAAAGGGATTCTGCACATCCGCAGGAAAATATTCTTCATCTGATACCAACCAACCGGGTTCAGTAGTAGGGTATGGTCAGGCTAGCTGTTAAAAGTGTTGCAAAAGTTGTTTAGTATATAAAATAACATAACATTATCATTTATTATATTATATTTAATATTATAGATAAATATTCTATGGTATAATTTTACTAAAACAAAGGTCATTCTTATTTTTGTATTCTTTGAAGCAACGGGGCAAACATCCAGCTGGATTTAAATCAAAATTAATAAATTGAACATATAATCTATACAGCTATACAGTAATGTTAGTAAGACTCACCGTGTGTACAGCAGGCAATGAGTTATCCACTTTGACTGTAGTCGTCGCCGTCGCCGTGGCCGACACTGGGGTGTGAGGCACCGAGGTGGGCGAGGGTGCGAGGCCGCGGGACCCGAGGGCGCGCAGGTACTCCGAGGGTTTGATGAGTGAGTGTTCGTCGCCGTCACCGCTGCTGGGGAACTTGGGCGGGATGAACGGCAGAACCATCTGCTTGTTGACGAGGTTCGGGCCGTGCGGCGGCGGGGAAGTCGCACTCTCTGAGGATGGCACCACTGACACAACTGGCGCGCTCTCCGTCACTGCCACCGGTATCGTGGAGTCTGGAGAAAGTATACTGTAATTAGTGCTCGTTATACCCGATGTGCATGTAGGCTAGGCGATCACTGCCATTTTACTTTCCGCGAGCAAGCTTATCAGAGTGAATCACGTAGCCCAGATAGGGGCCACCCAATATCCCCCTCTACCAACACGCACGCTTGTGTGATGTCGGGTGGAAAATTAATTGTACATGTGTTAACTAGAGGCGTGTTAATTTATGGATGATTTGTTATATGTCTAGGTAAACTTGGATGGCCCTGCTGCTCTAGAATGAATACTGGCGAAGAATGTTGCACATTTGTCACTATGATTTTGGTATTAGGGGTGTTCTACGGAGGACGGTCCAACCCCTGGTCTTGTTGCTATACAACGTAGACTTTTTTAGGTTGCCTAATGACACATGCCACATGAGCCTAATAACTCAATCGGATGCTCTATAAGTTAGTTTGCAATAATGACTATTACGTCTGTTAAAATAATTTAAAATATTTTCCCTTTTGGTCTGTTCATACATTTTCTTCTATAGTTCGGCCGCTTAGAAAGCGACCTCCTCTATCATTGGTTTAGCATTAGCGCGCAGGTCGTTTTCTAAGCGGCCGAACTATAGTACTTTTTTTGCAGTTTAATGCATATTTTTCATTGTTTTTGTAAATAAGTTTAGAATTCATCCAACAATTTATTTCCCCTATCAGTGAGTTGTTTTAGCGAATTTTCCATATAGGGAATAGGCTACGTTATTACCGTAGTACTCATGGTGAGACTTGGACCGGGGACCGATTTACTTTTTCGTTTTGAGTTCGCGAGAGGCCAAAATCACCAGCCGTTAAAATTAATATATATACATAGGTATTATTATTTATTTAAGTGTCCGTTAGCACGATAACTCGAACAAAAATGATCCGATTTTGATGATGTTTGGTATAAACTGATGTAAACCTATGTTTATTCAAACGAGTTCGCTAACCTAAATGACTATGGGAACCATAGTTTATGGGGTAAAAATTGGTTATTCCCATCCCCCCCCCCCTAAAAACATAGAATTTCGCAATGTATTTCGAAACTATTTTCTAGAGATTAAAAAAACAAATAATTTAGTATGTTGAATCGTTATTATGCGCCTATAATGACTATGAAGAAAATTCCAAAAAGTTGTTAAAATTCTCCTGTTATTCTTATGGAGAATAATAATAAACGATTGTAATTTGTTTGTTTATGAACATATTTTGATCAATTTTGGAAATCAGGCAAATGAAAAATCAAGAAGCATTAGCTCTTGATAGTACTGTATTAAGGTTCTAAAAATTAGTTAACACTGTATTGCGTGGCTGTAATAGATGAAATATTGAAATTGCATATGCCTTCAAAAACGTTCAATGTGTCTATAAGATAGCTCTGCAACCTACGCAACTGGAAGGTATTCAATAAATGCAGTTAAATACAGTAGGAGTAGGCATATAGTATTTAACGTTGCATAAGTTTCGTTGTTAATGATTTTTAAATTCTATGGGCATGATTTAACATTACACGCTAAGCAAGCTATGGATTGTATTTAGTCTTGAATGCAGAGCTGATAAAACTACAGAGACGTCCTGAACGGACGAGATCTTCATCAAGAATGTACCTAGTAATGGACTAAATCTAGCACTCATTTCTTTTCCATCACAGACACCGACTCTCTATAATTGCCCAGTACATCGCAGTTATAGCCAATTTATGTTTGAATTATTGTTCCGGGGGAAAACAATGTATCCCGAGGATCTGAAAGTTCCCTTTTAATAGGAATACCATTTAGGACTAATATATAAGGTTAACGTAGCGTGAATGATTACTATAGGCCTACTGGTATATTGTTAGTGTCTTGAATATAGCCTGCACTGATACAGCTACCTTTTACAGTATCTATTGTTTGCCAATCCCTTAAGTTTCCGAAGATAAGTTTGATTTTGGGTATTACTTATTTTTTCCTACATTTTAACCTTGTCATAATTTTACCTTCTTGCTTCTTCGATCCTATGTAGCGCTCACCTACTAGGGGGGGGGCCTGCACCACAATTGCTTACAAAATAAAATGGTAGGGTCGGATTTTATTACTGTACGTTGATTGTTGTGGCCGTAAATTGTCCATTGTGAGTATGATACCATACCTGGTACAAAGCAGGTAGTCTCCGGCCGTAAGTTCCGAAGGAATTTCACAACTACATACTATAAGTTAATAGACTAGAGGGTGCATGACTACTTTAGATATGCGCCATAGTCTAGGCTTTTGCATTACCAGGCTTGGTTTGTGTTTTAATATCAGACCTTTTTAGAAATGTGAAAATTAACTGTAAGGTGGCTGAGAATGAGTTGGGACATTTTAGAGGAAAAAAGATCGCACGTGGCATTTTATGGTTTTTATTGTTTAGTTGTATCGGCCAACAGCTGTAATTTACATTATTGTTGTACATTACATTGTTGGACTGTCTAGTGAAATATAAAACTACCAACGAACGGCACAGCAAGTAGTTGTCATACTTTAATTCTAACCAATATTGAGTTTGATCTTTATGCGTCACCATACCTACCATCTGATCGTGATGAAAAACTAACAAATTAATAAGTTGGGTTCTATGATGTTCCATAGTTTTAAAACGTTATAAGGTCAACAACATAGTGCAGAGCTATTTCTTTTAAGTTTTGCCGTTGTGAAGTACGGGTAAAGTAGCTAGTATATAAGGTACATATATGTACAGTATATACATGTACAGTACATATATGTAAGGTATATAAGGTATATAACTAGTATATATTCAGTTATAAGGCTTTCAGACAAGAAACAAAAAAAAACTGTATTTGTAAATAAAGGTTAGTTGTATTAGTTTTAGTTAAATTATTTGTTCTCTTTTATTATTGTATTGCAGACTTTGTACCTGACTTGAGTTGTTTTGAAAAGCAATGTATTTTTGTACTGAAAACCGCTTCAAATAAAAGACGTTTCTATTCAATTCTATTCTATATGTTATTATTTATTTAATTATTATTATAAACTATTACAAAGTTTGTGTGTCTGTTATTTTTGGAACTCAATCACGCATTAACTACTGATCGGATTGGGTTCGAATTCTGTATGATTATGGCTCATATTCCCGATTAAAATATAAGCCTATTCTTTTCTCAAAAATCCTTTCGGGTTACGCCCCTGTGGCTCTATAATTTCCCACCACTATATCTATCTATATATTAATAGGCAAGCATGTTTCTTTAAAACCTTTTTTCTCAGCTCGTGTGCATCGCAGGGGAAATCTACGCATACTGTTAGAAAGATATTTGCCTGTAGATGTGCAGAATCCCTTTATAAATTAAAATAGGCTAAAAATAAGCACAAAAAACGAATTTGAAAACTTCAAAAAATTAACATGGACCAACTGGGTTGCCATGATGGTGACGAAATAACAACAAAATGTAAACAGAAAATCAAAACAAATGGAAGAAATCCCAATCACATGTTTTATTTACAGTGTGGGGAGAAAATAGAGAAGTCTGTACATTAATTATTTTTGGTCGAGTTTCGACCACAGGACGACCACTAGTATTTTTTTAATTTATGACGCCAACTGGTTTGAACTAAGTAGCAAAAAGATGTAATAGACAATGCAAACAGACAAAGTAAGGTTGTTTACAGTTATGTTTGTGTCTTTAAATTTATAAAAAATGTTGATATTGTGCAAATATAGCATTTATATTTTTTTATTGCATACTTAGTATACTGACTTTATTTCCCCCCAAATGTTTATGTAGCCTATTGTGTTCGTATGTTTGTTTTCTCCCAAAATAATGTCAGGGAAACGGAGTGGTGTGTTGACATTTTAAGCGCATTACTAACCATGTCCAATAATTATGGTTTGATTACTAATATTATAGATTAGGTGAAACCCGTCGAAATCAACGGTTTACTTTCAAAGCTTACGCTGATTCATCTAACTGCGATAAATTGAGTGAAATTTACATATTTTGAGCATTTAGCATTGTTTAAAGAGTAATAAGTGTAAAAACAATCATAATATTAATTGCGTTAGTTACCAAATATGGTTGATCATTCAATGAATAAAATATTTACCATACCGTACGTCATTTGAGTTATTATTAGTATGTTAACTGGTATCTCTTCTTTTGGAAGAACCTTTAGAAAGTATTAAAATCGTATTGGTGGATCTTTTGTAGTTAAAAACTTCCGCGATTTCATCAGTGTAATAAAGTTAATATATGATTTTATTTGAGAAAAAAATATCTGTAGAGAAGACACGTTCTAACTTCATAGTACAGTAGTATGTTTTCTGTGGGAGGTCCATACGTTACAGTGTAAGTGTGATTTTTCCTTCGTCACGTCGCGTCAGTTCATGTCGTACTTCTGTGCCAATGAATAACCCTCTAGCATAGTTTTGAGAAATTGGTTGTGGGGTTAATGTTAAAGCTAATAACACACTTCTGCACTTGTATTACGTTGTATTGTATTACACAATCGAAGATTTTTCCAAAGATTAAAAACATGTATGACAATAATCTCATGAACCTATGATGATATGTCTAGAATAATATGATAAAATATAGCCAAAAGTGGTGAAAAAGGTAGACACCAACCCGTACAATAGATGATATAAGATAGTTCAATAAGAAATAATTGTAAGAGTTAATGTGATAAAAGCATTTTCCACTGATTTCGTAATGGAACGTTATATTGCAAAACATGACATGACAGAAGGAAATCAATTTTAAAATCAGAAAATAACATTGCAAATACTTCTTTTTCACCACACTATGATTTTTTTTAGCGGTTTTACATACGTTAATTGGTGGCTGAAAGTTACGTTTTGCTGACCATGTCATCGTTATTTGCGGACCGAGCAGGTTTTTGCATCCCTAGGGCCGCAAAATCAGCTTCCCGCTTACTTAAAAATGCATAGTAAATGCCTACACAATCAGTATCCATTGCATTGCAATAGAATTGTTTTATTGTCACCGTTGC